GTAACTTAGAAACCCGATACCAATCTCAGTCATCGCGACATTCGAAATCACTATGACGACACCAACGCTCACGAACCCGTCCTTGACCGCTGCGATATGCTCGCTCGAACATAAAGCCTGGGCAGCGCTATGCAGTTCCGGCGCCGAACTCGTCCCGCTTCTCTCCAGCAATCCCGTCATGATCTTCCCGAGCGACCTCATCCTGACCTCCGTATCGTCCCCAACAGTCCACAACATGCTTCAAGGCCCCGACTTCAAGCCCTGGAAGTCATACAAACTCAGCCACGATGAAGTCGTTATACTGGGCAAGGACAGCGCGCTGATCTACTACCGCGTAGAGGCGACAAGGGACAGCGAGACGTTCAGGGCCATCTGCTCGAGCGCATGGGTGCTGCAAGGTGCTTCAGAGGGCGTGTCAGGCGATTGGAAGATGGCGCACCACCAGCAGACGCTGATCTAGGGACCTATGTTGCTCAGATACCATGTTTTAGGCCGTGAAGTCTGGGAGTCTTTGATACCCGTGGACAGTTCACATAGACTGCAGGCAGCTGGTCGCTGTAGAAGCGAGAACTGTGGGTCTCAGAATACGAGCAAGCATACATTGCGGCGGTTGAACGCTCTGGTCTGCTACATATACTTAGTTATACTGCGGTACAATACTTCAAAGCCTACGACTCAATGCATCTCCACCTCAAATCACGAGGTTTGGGGTACTCCCGTCCTATAAACCTAAACGCGATAGCTTGAGGCATCTCCACATAGCGCGGGTGCATCGCTAGTGGCCGTCGAGTGACGTATGTGATCTTCCGAAGTTCCGTACAACATTTCAAGGGGTAGCTCATGAAAGTACTCACATCACCAGCCACGTTCCCGTTTTCGATGAGGATTGCTGTCCTCAGGCAGCTGGGTCAATCTTTGTCATCATCACCGTCTAACGGGATCACATCAGCAGCATCACCACGATTCAGCACAATGGCAGTCACCTACGCAGCCGCCGTCAGCACACCCAACGGCGGGGTTCGGCAGCCTCAAATCCAAGCCCGAGCCTGTTCAGACCCAGATCTACGCGCATCCTTTGAAGCAACGCAAGCACAGCAAAAAGAGCAGACCAAGAAACCCCAACGACCCGGTGCAGGAATTCGTGCCAAAACGAGTTTCCGCGGCTGGTCAACCAAGAAGGAAGGCAAGACCAGTACCAAGCAGGCCAACAATGAGCCATACGTCGTGGAAGAAAGCCGGCCTTCAGGACACTATCCCCGCCAAGAGCATAGACCGAACACCGCGAGTCAAGATGAACAAGTCTACGTCCTCACACTCAAACTCACAGATTCCCTAGCCAAACCCATGGACGACATGCGAAATCAGTACTTCCCTAAACACCTCAACCGCACAGGCGCGCATCTCACGCTCTTCCATGCACTCCCACATTCGCACATGGAAGCGCTAGAACAAGGGCTCGCACAGGTATCGGGGAGCATTCAGCCCTTCGACGTCTCAACCGGCAAGCCCTTCCGGATGCGCAAAGGCGTAGGCATAAACGTCGACTCAGGCTACATGAAGATGAAAAACGTCCACGCCGACTTACAAACCCAATGGTCTGAGTTCCTCAGCGAGCAAGACGCAGGTGGCTTCCGGCCCCATTGGACCGTCATGAACAAAGTCGACGAAGAGACAAAAGTAGACAGCGCGTTCGCGACGATACGCCAGGAGCTGAGTGAGAGGAACCAGGAGGGTCGTGCCGTGGGTCTGGATCTGTGGAGGTATGAACGTGGGAATTGGATCTTCGCAAAGGAGTTTGTGTTTGGTGAGGGGCTGGTTAAGACGCCGACGAAGACGGGGAGCCCGCGGAATCAAGGGCAGCGTTTGTCGCCCGAGCAGAGTCCTACGGATGGGCCCGGGAGGAGACCGGGCATGTTTAAGCGGGGAAGTAGTGTGGGGGATGCGTTGAGATCGATGAGCTTTCGGAAGAGGAGTTAAGATAATATACGAGTCTGTAGGATGTGAGATGGGTTACGAAGTTGTGTATAGTACGTGTTTTGGGCGTTTGTACGGGGAATTTGTATACTACATGATTCAGAACCAGCGTTCAGCCAATGTATGCGGAGAAGAAATGGTCTGGTCCCGGCATGCCATGTCCATGGTTTGCAATGACCGAGGGGAGTCCCGCTGGCAACCGAAGAACATCGTGGAGACTAGATCAAAGTAACGGCAGAAGCGCAGTTCTATTTTATCTACCCGTATTCAAGACTGCGTAAGCGCATTGGACGCATGATCGTGGCAATCTCGCCACCAACACACGACGCGCGTCGCATAAACGCTGATTGAAGCGGGAGCGAACATCGTGAGTGTGGCTGTGAGGGGCCGAGTGGAAGTACCATGGATCTGCAGAGATTCAAAACGTCGTGCATTGATGATTGATCAGGTGCACCATGAGCGACGTGACAGATACATTGGCGTTTGTCAAAGGCTTGGTAGTATTCTCGGTCAGCCACAGCTAGCCACATGTCGGCGGTACCAGGGGCGCGGGATAGCTTTCAGGGTCCCGACGTGGGGACCGAGGCGTGATCAGAAGATTCTGAGATGACCACGTCGCCCAATTCACAGCTTCACGGGCACGTGGTGCTATTCGCTCTGGAAAAGGGAGAGCAGAGCGGTGACCAGCGTCACGTACCCAACTCACAGAAATGAGACGAGCTGATTGTTCCCTCGTGATGGAATACGAACTCAGCCTATTAGCAGTCACAACACGAAGCTACGCCCCGAATTAGAAGCGGATAGGGCGAGCGATCAGGAACAGGGCCCATCTGGCCAGGCCACGACGACGATAGCGGTTAGGGAGTTGGTTTAACGAGGCGTAGCGGGAGTCGGGGGTTGCGCATGTGGTGGGTGAAAGAAAGGGGAACCGGCGCCGGTGTGAGCTAGAACATTTCCAGGGAAAGCATTAGCTCCGCTAATTGTGGACGCGGGTGCTTCGACGCATATAACCTACAGCTGGCCTCATCACCAAGCCGTTCCCTTGCTCTTTGCCCTGCGCTTTCACTCGACCGTGCGACTCTTTTCTTCTTCTATACCCGGCAATTACTGTCTGCTTGTGCTGTGTTGAAGACTTGACTGTGTTCTTCCGTTCCTCCCTGCGACAAAGTTCCTAGTACCTGCGCCTTTACACAACTTCAACACCGCCAATATGAAAGGTACGTCTGGCCAATTGCGACTATGCTGTACGTAGCTAACAGCCGATGCAGCCATCATTCTCGTCGGAGGGTTCGGTACCCGTCTGAGGCCTCTCGTAAGCCCTCGTCCCCGCGCAGCCCTCGCTCGAGAGCCCCGCGATGCCAGAAGCAACGGCCATGCTAACGCCAATTGCAGACCCTCACCTACCCCAAGCCGCTCGTCGAGTTCGCGAACAAGCCCATGATCCAGCATCAGATCGAGGCCCTCGCCGCTGCCGGTGTCACAGATGTTGTCCTCGCCGTCAACTACCGCCCCGAGATCATGGCCGAGGCGCTCAAGACAGTGAGTATACCCACCCTTCCGCAAACCAGAGCACAAGAATAACCGGCTGCGCAGTACGAGAAGCAATACAACGTGACCATCACGTTCTCCGTCGAGACCGAGCCTCTCGGCACCGCCGGCCCCCTCAAGCTCGCCGAGAACGTCCTGGGCAAGGACGACTCGCCCTTCTTCGTCCTCAACGCCGACGTCACCTGCGACTACCCCTTCAAGCAGCTCGCCGAGTTCCACAAGCAACACGGCGACGAAGGCACCATCGTCGTCACAAAGGTCGAGGAGCCCTCCAAATACGGTGTCGTAGTCCACAAGCCCGGCCACGCCTCCAAGATCGACCGTTTCGTCGAGAAGCCCGTCGAGTTCGTCGGCAACCGCATCAACGCCGGTATCTACATCATGAACACGAGCGTGCTAAAGCGCATCGAGCTCCGCCCTACATCCATCGAGCAAGAGACTTTCCCTGCGATTGTCAAGGACGGCCTGCTCCACTCCTTCGACCTCGAGGGCTTCTGGATGGACGTCGGTCAGCCCAAGGACTTCCTGTCAGGAACATGCCTCTACCTCTCTTCGCTCGCGCGCAAGAACTCCAAGCTGCTGACCCCCGCTTCGGAACCCTACGTCTACGGCGGCAACGTGCTCATCGACGAGTCTGCCAAGATAGGAAAGAACTGCCGCATCGGTCCCAACGTGACCATCGGCCCCAATGTTGTCATCGGCGACGGTGTGCGTCTCCAGCGCTGTGTGCTGCTCAAGAACAGCCGCGTCAAGGACCACGCTTGGGTCAAGTCGTCGATTGTCGGCTGGAACAGCACCGTGGGCAAGTGGGCGCGTCTTGAGAACGTGACTGTGCTTGGTGATGACGTTACGATTGGTGATGAGGTTTACGTTAATGGTGGTTCGGTTCTGCCGCACAAGTCTATCAAGCAGAACGTTGACAGTAAGTTTCCCTTCATACTCCATACTATGTGTTACGGTGGCTAACAGAATCTAGCTCCTTCGATTATCATGTAAACGCACCCACGAGATACCCGGTCGAACGACACGTCGACGCAAATCTTCTACACACACTTTTTTTAATAACGTGTATCTTTCTTGTATATTTCTGCATACACTCCGGCTGGCATATAGAACTGCGTGGTAGTAGTTGTGCATTTTCTACGGAGGCGTCTCTACAAGCACTCTACATCTCCCCTCTTCAGCATGGGGGGTGCATTCACGATACGAAAAAAGCGTCTGGTTTGGTACGGATGGATGGATGCTTTGGGTTGGGTTTAGCGATGGGATATAAGCAAAGGTTGTGCTTCGGCATGCTGCCTTTTCTCAAGAGGAAACGGGGAAGAATGGGGATGAAGATGGACATGGAGATGGACATGGAGATCATGTGTGCATGTACTGTACTGCAGGTATGAATACCAAAACCTGAAAATAAAGCTTTCCATTTGAAGATTGCGTACAATTACACGTTGAGTATCGTTACGATCACATACCCTGCCTCACTTATCAGACTTATGCTTCCCACAATTATAATCATCTCCCTCCCTCACATTCTTCTCGTTCTTACACGGCTCGCCCTTGGTCGTTCTTCCACTACACTTCACTTTCTCTGTACCCTCACCCTTCTTTGCCTTACCGCCTGTCGGGGTGTTCTTTGTCGGTTTTTTGGGAGGGGCTTTGCCCGGTTTCGTCTTTGTGCTTTCCTTTTTCCCGTTGTTGTTGTTCTTCTTCCTCGGCTTCTTCACTGTCTCAACTACTGCTGGTTCAGATGGAGCATCAGGCGACTCGTCGTCATCGTCGTCGTCGTCATCGTCATCCCCTTTCTCTGGTGACGCAAACCGTGTCTTCTTCCGCGGCGGCGCCTTGCGCTTAGTTCTAGCTTCCTCCTCGCGTTTTCGTTTCTTTGCTGCGGCTACCGCGCGGGCTACAGCAGCATCTGGCGCGTCATCCTCCATACCCGTCTCTGCATGTTGGTGTCCTGGTCGAGGAGCAGTGCCCGCTGGCATACCTTTCTCCTTCGGTTTGTTTGCTGGAGGACCGGGAGACGGAGGGGGTGGAGTGGGACTTTTTGGACCTAGCGGCGACGAAGCCGCTGAGTCGATTTGGGGGCCTAGTGGCGAGGAAGCTGCTGAGTTGAATGAGTATACGGTGTGTCCCCACGATGGCGTTCTGTACATACGTTCTACGGGCTCTTCGATTATGGGGTTCTGGGCCCCGACGCCGCTGGTCTGCGGTTCTCCTTCGTTTTCACCCTCGTTTCCATCGTTTCCGAGTGCTTCTTCGTCGTTATCCCAATTTATGTCATCTGGGAGCGGATCAAGTTCGGGTTTGGGTTCGTCTTCAGCGACTTCTGTGGGTGAGCCCGGTGGTGGCCAGCTGTATCCCACGACTCCTTGCGCTGCCTCTACTTCTTGGATTGGCTCTGCCATTTGGACTGGCTCTACTTGTTGAGTTGCGGCTACTTCTTGCTTGACCTTTGGTTTGTAGTCTTCTGGTTCTGACTCTGAGCTACTGGAGGAGGAGCCAGAGGATGAATAGGTTGGTAAGCCTGGTAAGGATGGTGCTTGATGCTTTTTTGGTGACATGGTTCCTGTGCTGAAATTTCAGCGGGCACCTGTTTAGGAGGTATGGTAGAATTGGAAAGGTTTTCTGGTTTTGTTGATGTTGTCGTGCTGGTGAGTTTAGTGTTTGAATTTATGTCGAAGACTATTGCATGCCCGTGAGGTCGTTCAGATTTGCTACCCAGGTAAATAGAGATGGGGCCGAGTCCAATTCCACTCTTATGAGTAGCCGGAGATGACCACGATACAGAGGTATCTTTTGTTGGACAGTAAATATGTTGTCTCTTTCTTCTGGTCAAAGAAGCGGAATCAATTCGATTGTAACATTGTATCCTAGCTTTGGTCATTGTAAGTCGGCATAAAATATTCTTTGTGGTAATGACTTTGTTTCTACGCTTGGTGAGCAGCTTCAGCAGATGTTTCACTCATGGTTGACAAGTCTTGTGCGTGGCAGTAGATGATCTTCATCAAAGACTTTCTGAAGTCAAGATTTCAGACTATTCACTTTGCCCGGAAGTCAGGCAGTTATCTTAACCCGAAGTTTCGGGCGAGACGATAGAAAAGCTTAAGCTCGCACTGTTCGGTTTGCACGTAAACCAACGGAGTTGTCTTAGACAAAGATGTTCGACCAGACAAAGAAGGGCCGAGTAATGAGACGGCAGCTAGGTCTGTTGCCATCATTCCCAGTTATCACGTTCTTTGCTTTGTCAATAAGTGTGTCTGGCCGAGCAAGACTCTTATTTTCCCTACTCGGCTGATATAGTCGTGGAGACTTGCGTAGGCATATGCACTATCTTTCGTCATTTCCGGCATCATCACAACAGTAAACAAAGTTTGCCATGTGTTACTCTTTCGATTCCATGTATTCCACTATAGTGCTCAACACCCCACATCCCAACCCCTCTATGCCATATCCGAGTAGATGACGAGCGGCGGCGAGTTGACCTTCGGCTTAAAGTGCGCCTTGATCTTAGCATGTGCCTCATCCTGGTTGTCGTAGTAGTCCATATCCTCCTTAGACTCGAATATGCAACGCGCCAGCATCGTGTAGCCCTGGCTGCGCGGGTCGTCATAGGTGGCATTGGCTTGTGCAAGCTGGATGTACGTCTTGCCGTCCTGCACAAAAACACAATGACGTTAGCATGCATCCTCTCGATAAGCAGCAACAAACAACAAACGGCGGACGACGATAGCCTCGGAAGTCAGTCGGTGCGGAGGCTGTCGGTATATCTCTAGCGTCAGTCTGTCCATCGTGAGGCTTCAATGGATCCAAGGCGGCCGATATGTGCGTCGTGACTCGGAGTTGATTCCGCGCGCTCGCTGGTGTCGCCCGCTTGCTGCAGCCTCGTCACCCCCACCCCATTTCTCCTAGCCGCGGCAATATTTCCAGCGATTACCCGCCAGGGACATTGCTCCGCGCGCGCGAAGAGGAGGGTTGACGCCATTATCCGCTCTTTTCTTATCGAGGGAGCAAGATGGAAATAGCCCGAGGGCGACTAGAATAAATCTGGGGTCCCGACGTGATGAGATGGTCCGTCGTGCAGGGGGCGGGCGGTATGGACTGCACGTTCGATGGATATGTGCTGGCCGTAACTCGGCTGAGAGAGCGGGTATGTATGGAGATCTAGAAGGGGAATGGGAGGGCTTGGAGGGAATGTTGGCGAGTCAAGAAAGGGCTTCGACGTACCTTTTTCGCGTCTTGGGCGAGAGTGTTGTACATTTGGATGGCTTCTTTGACCATGTCCTGGTCGGGGATCTTGAACATTGTGAGGCGGACGATCTTAGGCATCTTGACGGTTGTCGGTTCTGGTGATTGGAGAGAAGCTGTAGTAGTCTTTTGTATGATTCTGCTCGTTGTATGAATGTGTGTATATTATGCATGAGGCTGTCAAGTTGGTATATCTAGGTACTCTGTCGGACTCCGGAGTAGGCGGAGAGCCATTCGAAACGTCAACGTCAACGTCGGTTCCCCTACGCTTTGCACAGCGTAATGTTCAAGACGTAGTACATACTCCATCTACGGTCTAATTACATTTGCTTTTTGCGGACGCCGTAGTCTGGCCGTTGACCCCGCGTACGGCGCCTGTACGACGGGTGGTCTGTTTGTGAGCTGACAGCAATTACGTAGCCTGTCTGCTACGAGACGGCGAGGCTTACACTCTCGATGCGCAAGCCATGCCTTTCTCGACAGTCTGAAACGTGTCACTAGAGAGGGAATGTCGGTTTGAATCGTGGGGTAACTGATGCTACTGACAGTAGACGACAGACACCGCTATCCGATGCCGGTGAAGGATGGCAGTCATATGCTGTTAGACGTCACACATGGAGCGTGGAAAGAGCTGGCCAGAGCCTTTACCGCATCCTCGAGTTGTGTAAGGGTGAATGGACCCTGAGGGGCTGCAATCTGCAATGTCGAGATTCGGAGGGTCGGGACGGTGCGTTGTGTCCCTCATCGAGCATCGGTAATGGACGCGAAACCCGGCCCCTCTAGATTGATTACCCTGCACCACACCCGGCTGCAGCACCACCTCTCACCGCGCGAGGCTGAACAGGAGGGTGAGGGTGCTCTTGGTTGGAAAAGCGCTCGAACATGTGGGTCTTCAGTAGCCTATTGATGGAATCAGGCCGATTCGAAGACGACATGTCCACGACAGGACGCCTCCAAGGCCGACAACTCTGCGGTCCAAATGGCCGCCCTCTCACGCGGTCGAGTAGGTCAAAGAACAGTCTTCTTTGCTAATGCGTAGTGTCAAGAATTGATGCGCAGAAAGAGGGGCGCATGGTTGACAGCGCTGGCTTCTTCACCGCCTGTTTTGCAGCTTCGGGCGGGTGGCCGTGCTGGCGCGCTCGCGTCATCCACAGATCTCCCGCGCGTGCGACATAGTTCTGAAGCTCGTTCACTCATCTCCGCGCTGATTCTGCTGGCCTTGGACGCGCTCGTCTGGACTTCAAACGCTATTCTTTGTCCAATATATCAGTGGCTGTTCCTTGCGCTTCGTTGCCGCTATTCACAAGCGCCATCGTCCCGCTCCATGTATCAACCACCATCTTGGATCGGCGCCAGACAGAAGCGGTCCTTACTGGGACCTGGGACCTAGCCATGCACCGCTGCCTGTCGTGAACCGCGCCGGCCTATCGAATCGTCCGAATTTTGCTTCCGCTCCACGACGACTTGCTCTGTGCACCCTCAACCTTTGTACTGCTGCTATCCACTTCGCGGCAGGTCAATTGTCGAGTACGCTCTGCAGCCGCCCGACGCATGATCCCTTTGTGTCGATTCGAAAATTTCCTCCTAAAGCTCCAGACCCGTTCGTGCTGAGCTTGGCATCCTGCTATCTTCAATGTCTTGACTTCGGCAAAGTGGGGACTGCTTGATGCCCTACCATCAGCCTTGAACATGGGGATCCCAGGGTCTGTGAACTCTTCATCTCTGTCTCTCTCGATTGACCGGGATCGCGTGCGCGAGAACGCCTGGCCCCTCCAGCTGTCCTCTCCTCGTCAATCATCGCCTGTCAAACCGTACTCCACTACGTATCGCGAACGTGCTTGAGCGCCATCAGACAGTCTCCGCAATGCCAATTTATGCCTGCATGCACACGGCTTACAGCTAACAGCCGTTGACCCTTTCCCTATTCGAGCTGCAGGCGCGTTTCCCAGTAGCGATATTCAGAGGACCGTGCTTTCTGCATGTATGCGTTGGCAGTGACGCTTGATGCTTTCTGGTAACACCAACCCCAGGTATCTCCTCGAACCCTCGAACGCATCAATCAACTCGTCTCGCTCGCCCCTGGGGCTGTCGGGTAGCTCCATGCTATGCCTGTTGTGACGCGTTCTCGCTTCGAGCCACTATGCTTTGCATTGTCTTGCAGTCACACAATCGTGTCCAACTCCTCTCCAGTCGCGACTCTGGCGGTTGGTACCCTAGCCGATTAGCAGTCCCATTTTTTTGCTGCACGTCTGGTCTGGTCTCTGATTCCTTTCAGACCCTGCCTCCCAAACCATACGCCGATATCACGCATTCTGTTGCCAAGATTTCAGGGTATCGGTACACTTGACAAAGGGTGCAGAGTCTGACGTATTTGCGTTCTCCCCTCACTTTGCATATTGCATTAGTGGGCCCAGTGCATCCGGGAGATACGAGCAAAGAGTGCTGTTAGGATGCACGTCTGCCACCTCGTTGTTTATGCGCCCATCCTAGGCGTCTAAACCTGCACAATGCCGATCGAGACATGTCCAGCCTTGGGAAAACGGGTTACAGCAATTGTGTCCGATCGCCAGCCGTTTTTCACTGCGCTACTGCGTGCAGCACGGTGGCAAGAGCGAACCGGTCAGGCTGTACCTTTTGAGGTTTGAGTCTCTTACTAGCTAAAATTCTGGAACCTCTACCGTTGGCTACCTTCTCGCCAGCACATACTATGGGTCTCCCTCATTCAGAGCCGCAACAAGACCCGCAGATTATCCATTTCCACAAGCCCAATTGCCCCTCCGTTTTTACTGGTGGGCGAGACGCGCTTGGATACATGCTACACTCGCCTGCTGCAATATATTCCTCCATCCCACAGTAGGCACATATGCTTCCCCCATCCCCGTCCGACTGACTGCAAGCCGCTCCCTCTACCTTGCTCTTCATACATCAACGCTTTTCATCTCTTTTGTACAGCTGTCAATGCTTTATTGGCAACTGTCACCCACACCCTAAAAGCATTTACTGTCGTACAACCACTGCTACGGATACCTTCTCGGCCTACTATCGTCGCCACCAACGAACGCTTGCCAGTTCAGCAATACTCCGCAGCAGTAGTCTTGCCCTCAGACTGACAGCTCACCATCGAAGCGCCATCAGTCGTTCCAATCGCTCCATTACACGTCAATAATCCTTTTCGACCATCTCCAACATGTTTTACGTTATGTACCTGACAGGTTAGTGCTAGAACTGTTCCTTTTCTTTTTAGACAGTTGGTACCACATAGCCGGATCTAGTTGAGCCAAATGAGGTCTTGACGACATGGCAATTGGTGCAAGACTCATGGGTGATAGCCCTGTCTAGTGTAGGGGATCCACACAACGGGGTGGAAGACCATGTCCAAGACTTTGCAGCACGATAGCAGATTCAATGTGTGTGTGTGTGTACTGGTTGCTGACCCTCGGATATAGGTCTTTGCCAAAGGCGCCACTGGCCTGACCCACTTTTCCAAACCTACCGAACACGCTACGGTTACGGATCAACAGTCAGAGTAAACAACCGAGAGTACTCCACGGATGTTGAATACGAAAGCGAAGAGCTAGCCAAGAATGCCGCCGCCACCCGAGCCTACATGATCTGCCGCAACTTCTCGGTAAACGATGGAATGTACCCAGGACAACGGCCCGGCCAGGGCGCACAAGGACTGCCAACACCGATAGGAGCGGGCCGACGCAATACTTCCTCATCCAACGACTACGACAGCTCCAGTACCACCAGTGGCGGCACCAGCCCAAGGAGCTCCGACTGTGGTCTCGATGCTGCACAGGCAGCCGCGGCAGGAGGACGACGACCCAGCAAGGCTTCTGTCGCGCCATCAACTACCTCGGCATGCTACTGCGGTCGTGGATATGTCCGTGCTTACGAGAGATGCTCAGGATGTCTCCAAGAGGCGGGATACAGGGTGTAAGATATCGATAGACTTCGCTTCCCTCGACGGGATCCACACCAAGCAACAACGAAACCAAAACCTTACGACGACCGCATCGAATCAAAAGACTTGAAGAGCTCGAGCTCAGCGATACCACGATTCCTACGACTCTGCATCCCTTACGGCCTTGCTACGAGCTTATCTTTATCCAGTACTGCGGTGATATCTTATCGGGCCTGGACGCCTTGTTCCTACCCCATCGAAACGAGCTGGGCTATGTAACGACCATCATACCCACGCCCATTTTCCTTACCCTGATCTTGCTCTTCCTCCCCAGCGGGGCTGCATAGCGACGGCATTGAAGCGTTTTTAGCGAAAAACCTATTCCTCTTATTGCTTTTAGGATCGGCAACCACCTTTCCATTGATCCTGGGTTGGCTTCTTCATTTTCGCGCTCACGAAATTGCTCTCATATATTACGATGATGACCTTTTCCTTGATGTTCTCTTTTGGTTTTCCACTGTTTTGTCTGATGATTGAGCCAAAGATGAAAGATGTATGAAAGAAGATCACATGATGATGTTGGCCACGCGGCTATATAACGATGATGCTTATGATGGTTATGAAATTATACACCTTATTCCACTATTGCGTCGGTTCTGTTGGCTCGAATGATTGAAATGAGTTTCCGCCCCCAATTTCACGACCTATCGTCCAGCACAGCCCCACGAGGCCACTTGGGTGATTGGCTCGCTTCTCCGCTCCCAGCTTATCGGATATCCAGATGCCATCACAGCCAACAACATCAGGAAGGAGCAAACAGTCCGTGCCACCGTTGACGTCAATTATAGGGGGAAATAAATGAGAGGAAAGCGACGCGTAATCCGCGAAGTTCAGCAGCCTCTCCCGGTAACGATGTTGAGCCATGCACCCAACGCGAGCCGTCGCAAACTGCTAGCAAGTTCAGCGCCCAAGCATGTATTCCCAGCTTGACGCGTCCCGGAAAGAAATACGTCTACTCCATGTTCACCCAGGGACCTGGAATGATGACATCGAATGCCACCTTGAGACTGCCTCGCTGAACGACAACCCACAATTCTACGCGATCTCGTATGTTTGGGGCGACCCAACGATAACGTTACCCATCAGGATCGATGGCGAGTCGCTGGAAATAACGCAGAATCTGCGCAATGGGCTGCAACGATTGCGGAGAACGGATGAGACATTGATCATCTACGCGGATGCAGCCTGCATCAACCAGTCGGACCTCAACGAGCGTTCTGAACAAGTACAGCTCATGGGCGAAATATATAGTTTGGCGGAAGAAACGTTCATCTGGCTCGGCTACGGATGCAGCCCGCGAGCGCCCTTCAAACGGCCGGCCACCGTCGACTGGACTGGAGATGAAAGAGACGCGACAACAGTGGATGCCTACTTCAAGCAGAGCAAGATCCGGGATGGTGGAAGAGAAGAGCAAAAGGAGGCAGAGGACGTACTTGGCTTCTTTGTTTACATACGAATCTGTGGCATGGACAAGCACGTAGGCGAAATCCCCTTCTTCACTGTAGAGAACGGGCGGCTGCTTCGCAAGGAGGGCTGGTCAGCAGTCATTCGAGCTACGAAGACATGGATTTCCAACCCATGGTGGTATCGAATCTGGGTTGTACAAGAGACGGTGCTTGCTCGACGGGCCACAGTGGTTTACTGCAACAACACGATGCCATGGAATACGCTCATAGAGGCAGTTCAGTCCATCACCAGACACTCCAAAGGCTGTTGCAGAAGCCTGAGCTTATCGCTACCGACAAACGGCAGGTTGGCTTGGAGTCAATTATCATTCGCCGTGCACACCGGCGCGGTAGCCCTCCAGAAGCTCAGACAGCGAGGCAAAAGACTGTGTCTGAGTCAAGTCATGCGTCTAGTGCACCTGCACGAAGCGACGAATATCAGAGACAATGTGTTCGGTGTACTAGGTCTCGTAACAGACTGGCAAGGTACATCGCCCATTATCCCTGACTACAGTCTCTCCCCGAAAGAAGTCTTCATCCAAGCGACCATCAGGGATATACGCGGTACCCATTCGTTGGATGCATTAATGGGTAGAACCATGGCCGGCGTATCAGGCATACCATCTTGGGTCGTGGAAATAAGCCCGAAAACACCAACACAGTACGCAGTCGCCCAACTCAAACTACATCGCTCAGCACTGTATGCAGCGGCGGGCGGAACTGCAGCCCACATCGAGAGAAGGAAGGATGTACTCACGGTAGACGCATTCGAGCCACGCCAGACAATCTCACAAGTCTCACAGATATTACATACGGAGCGACTTACATGGAAAAACATCATCGACACTCTTGAGACATGCTATCGCATGATAGAGGCAGAGAAGGAAAATGTCTTCCGCGCTTTGGCAAACCAGTCCTTGGAAGAAGCGCTCTGGCGTATCTTGACGACTGACTGCTGGGAACCGCTTCCGTTGAACCACGCGGCTTCCTCCAACGACTCTTCGCGAGGAAACAAAGCACAGAGATTCCGCAATACGAATGTCACGCGCTTGGGACGGAACTTGCAGGCTTGGTGTCAGGCTCGAGCGACGAATCCTGATGCTGTAGGAAGTCTGCATGGCGAGGATCTTAGCGACGATCGCTTTTTCTATGAGTCGTGGTTTACGTCGGGCTTTGATCGGAGGTTCTTTATCACGACGGATGGGTACATGGGTGTAGGCCCACCGGAGATGCTGCCGGGCGACTCTGTTGCTATTTTGTTGGGAGGACGCGTACCGTTCTGCCTCCGAGCAGCTGAGGATGGGACTAAAGGTCACTATACGCTCGTCGGAGATGCGTATGTGCATGGGCTGATGGATGGAGAAGGCGTTCCGGCGAATTGGAAGGAGCATATCGTTAAGATACATCTCCATTGAAAAGACTTCGATTTAAACAAGTTTGCCTTTCGACACGTAAACGTTTCCTGCAGTTGTAAAGTGCACGACACCCTAGGATGTGGTGAGATAAAGTGCAACATACTGACACTGGAGTCGAAGAATTTGAAGACAACGCGGACCCTGTTAAAGTGACGGTGTGATAAACATACCAACACTCGACTCATCAGTCGAAGCGGTATCATGAAACTACCCAGATATCTAAGCGTACAATCCCCTGCGTACAAATGTAGTAAACTCCAAACAATACCGTATCGCTCATACAGAAGAAAGCGGAAACAGCCTTTTGCAACCTCACCAACGCCACGCAGCAAGGGCTTTACAAACACATACTACTACATCTAACCACCACCTTCGGCGATGGCCTTGAGCAGACCGCCGACATAGTTCCGGAGAGTAAGATTATGGCTCGCTGTGAAGGCGATTTGATCTCGCAGCGGAGCAAAGATACGGGGGACCCATCCAGCGTTCTTGGCTTCTTCTTCCTCTTTCTCTTCGTTCTCTCGTCTTTGTTCCGCCGCTGCGTCGCTGAGACGTGGCTTCTTGCCGCCGGCTGTGGCCCGTCTCGCGGCTTCCGGACTACCCTCACTGGCACTGAATGTCCGCTTGTGGGCTGGGGAGGATGGCGAGGTAATGTCGGTGACAGTGGTAGGGGGCGGGATCTTGTTGAGCTGTCGAGCAAGGTTACGAAGAACGAGAACGGAGGACAGAGGAAGACCGGCGGCATCGTTGGTATCGTCCGTCGCAGTGTTGTAGTAGCGGAAGTTGGGTGCTGATTGCGCTCCTGCTGCATCATCTCGGCCGCCGTATCTGCTTGCAGAGCTGGTCGATGAACTTTGGTGTCGTCCACCCATACCTAAGCTACCCAACCCGACCGGTTGTCCAAATTGGGGCTGGAAATTCTCATGTCGTGCTTGTGCGGAAGAAGTCAAGGGCCGTGACTCTGAAGGCGTGCGGTTGTGTTTCGCGTGAATGGCCTGCTTGATACTCGTATCAGGCAAATGCGTCTTGACATGCTGTCCAGCCTCGAACGCGGATTCCGTGCCGTCAGGCGAGAATCGAGTGCAGCCGCCCCAGTGACAGTAGTATTTCGTCGCTTCTGGGGTGTCGCCGTTCTCGATATTGACAATGTCCTTGATGTCCAGCTTTGGCTCAAGCAACCACTGTCCGGTTTCCTGATCGCGAGGAACTTGGAGATGGACACTAACAACGTGTTCCCACATGGAGCGTGCTCCGGAAGCGAACTCTCCGCACTCGATATTGGCTGTTGAATGTTTCGAGTCGGCATGGCCGTTCAGGAGGCTCGGTGGATGCCAGCAGCAGCGCATGTACGGTCTCTTGGTGCTTGGGTCGACTGGTACGGATCGTGGCCGTATGCCTCTTATGGTATACTTTGGCTGTCCACCCACGGTCAACACCTGAGCGGAGGCGCCGCCGAACGTCGTCGATACATTAGTGATGAAGTCTTTCGCTGGCATAAGCGCCTTGAAGGAAGCCGGGTTATTCGTCATATGTTCTGAGAAGGCTGCGTTGTAGGCCGACCAGAGCTGAATCTGAGTAATTTCACCAGTCGCATCCTCTTCGAAACACGTCTTGAGCCACTGCGAGCTACGCTCTGGCTCATCAAGCGTCACGAGATGATCTATGATTGCAGACGAGAGCTTAGGCGCGTTCTCTGGAGGTGCAGAGGTCTTTGCCGTCTTGGCGGCACTCCTTCGTTCTTCGTATGCAATTGCACCGTACTGTAGCAAGCGTACCAGTTGCTTGGCCACTCCCTCAATGTCAACTTCGTGTACAAGCGTCTCAACGTTGTCGGGGAAACCAGTGAAGAGATAGAGGAAGTCCAGGCATGCTATGCGCAGATCCTCGTCTTCTACTAGCAGCCAGTCGCAGATTGACTTGAGGGTCTTGACTGGCACGTCAGAGAGCTTGTTTGTAGCCTCTAGGTTCATTGCTATCCGGGCGAGTGCTCTCAGCGATGTGATGATGCGACCACGGTCGTCGGAATCCACTTGGGCGAGCAAAGAGCGATACAGCGGGCTTTGAGAGTCCAATATCCAGTACTTTGTCAGCTGTTCGGCGATCTCTAGGGCGTAATGCTGTAGCTCCACGATAGTGGAGTGGCGGGGCAGGTTGAGTGCGATAACGATCATATCTTGGATGGATGGCACAGAGGCCGCGAAAATGGCATTCTCTTTCAGCATGACCATGTTCCGGATGATGAGCGCAGCCTCGTTGATCATAGTGAGGGCCTTTGCGGATTGCTCGGGTAGGAGGTTGTCGTGCATGTCGAGTGAGCGAAGAGATTTGATGCGCTGCAACAGGTCGCGGGTGCCGTTCAGTCCGTTCAGGGTTTGCGGCTGATTGAAGTCCTCCTCGACGTATGAGATGTCCCAGTTCACATCGAAGAACAATGTGGACACGTCAATGACCTTGGCGATGAGTGCATCTGCGAGCCCCGGGAACTGATCGAAGCGGTACTTGTCTCCTCGCTCGTGTGAGATCTTGACCAGGTGGTGCAGTGCGTATGCCTCCTCCTCAGGCTCCTTTGACCGCAGCGCATTCAAAGCGCGGATGTATATGCTGGGCCCTGAGAAGCCGGTACCGGGCAGCATCATGCCCTTGAGCGGCACCGGCCTGTTCTTCTTGTTGAGAATGTACTTCTTGCGCGACTGTATGTAGGTATCGAGGGAGTTGGAGGGGGTAACGACGGGCTTCATGGTGGCTGGTACGGCGGTCCGTGGCTCGTAGTTCGCGATCGTCATGGCTGCTCCGCTGGTGCCGTAGCCGTTGGCTTGCGACGAAGTCAGATGGCCTGTCGATTGGCGCGTCTGTCGGGTTGAAGACTCGGGCTGGAAGAGCACTCGCTGCGGCGGCGCATGGCGGAGGGACCTTGTCGACCGCCCAAGGCTACCGGGCTCGTCCACGTCCATCTTGTCGTCTTTCGGTGTCTTCTCGACGTCGTCTTCGGAATCGGAGTCTTCCTCTCCCCTTAATCGTTCGGCCTCTCTATTGCTGGTTGGGAAGAAGTTGTCGACGGTCCGGTTGAGCAGGTCTCCGCCCTTTGCAGATACGTTCTCGAGGATTTCGGGCGGCGGGGGTTCGCGTTTGTGAACGGTGGATATTTCGTAGGCGCTAGAGCAGGCGTCAGCAGTGGTAGGCGCAAAGTTGTCTTTCATGATTCACGTACGCAAGGTTCTTGTAGTAGGCCGTCTTCACCAAAAAGGCCTGGGTGGTGATGCTGGGGCTCTTGGGCAGGAACTCAGTCGCGATTTTGCGCCACGCAAGCTTGTTGTTTTTGGTATCTGAAACCCTATCGTAGCCTCCCTCTTCATTAACGCGTTTGTAGAGTCGCAACAGGTCAATGTGCCGGCTCCCGACCTTGGGTTCGCGATCCAGGACAGTGCTACACGTCGGGTCAATATGCGCTCATTGCGGCGAGACAAAGAACAAAACCCACCCGCGCTTTTCGTGGTATTCGGCCAAGGTATTCAGGAAGTCTTCATGTTCTTGGGTGCGCTCGACAGATTGTTCCTCTGGTTTGTTTGGGGCCATGGTGCGGCTGTCGCATTTACTCGGGACTGCTCGGGCACGGGTCGCGACGCATGCGTGGATTCAGCTGTGTGCCAGGCGCAATGGTGGATCTGCTCGTGAATGCGCGGCGCGCGTCGTTCGCGATGATGGATGGGCGAACACCAGAACTCCAGACTGCACCAGGTCCCTCGCGTTGATTCGCACGGACCACATCATGTGACTGGGTGGCCGGTCGCGACTTCCTTCGACCATCTCTCACATCCTCAACATCTGAGTGCGCGACCTCAACGTGGTTTCAAGACGACACGGCTCATCGCACACATACTATCAGATGAACGATTATTGATCTCGACTAACAAACAGCATTGCTAACAATCATGCTATCCCTTCCGCTCCAGACTCTGTCAACAGCACAGGACACCGACGCCAGCGAGCAGAGGTTCAACTGGCAGAAAGAGACCAATGACCTCACATTGATCATCGACAGCTATGGTGCGCGCGGTGGTCTTCAGCTCATGAAAATGTGTCAAGGCTCGCAGGTTCGGGTACGACGCATGCATGACTGATTACCCAGAAACCCGCTTCAAATGATGTGCTAGCTAACCGTTGGATGACAGCAAACCATCGAAATCGAGAGACTGATCGACGAAGGCAATCACATTACGCGTCTGAGTGAAGAGCGCGGAATGCAGGTGCAGCCCGACCACCTACACATATCCGCCATTGTGCGCTGCCCTCTGCTCGCTATCAAATGGCAAGTGGCCAACAACAAGATCAGGCGTATCCAAATGAGGTTCAAATCAGACAAAGACTTCGACACCGCGTTCAGCCACCTCCTTCATCTCGGTCTCTACATGGGCGGCCAGAAGGCAGTCCCACCTCAGCCAAGGTCTACGGCTCAGCCACCATCGCCGGCGCGAGGAGGATCATCCTCTCGGCCAAGTCTGACTGCTGTTAGCTACCCTCAGCTGCCTCATATGAGCCCTGTCGTAGGTGGACCATCATGTCCTCCTTCACGACTGGCGGAGATCTCTAGTCGACCGTCCACTAGCTATGACTTCTCTGCTTCCTTGAATCATCAACTGCCCACAGCGTCATACACCCGTCCAGTTTCTGCCACCACAGGCTACACTAGAGAAGACGGTGGTATGCCGGCATCATTCTCAGGTCCTCTTGCTCCTCCAGTATTGTTTACTCGTCCTACCTCAGCAACCTCGGACATCTTAGGACGCTCGCATGTTGACTCTTCACATACGTCAGATCAGCACATGTCAGACCTTCAAGAATCTCATCGTATGTCTACGGAGCGACCGGATACTGCTATGCTCTTCAACCGCCCTGGTAGTGCAAACCGTCCCAGTACTGCCGATCGCCCTGGTAGCACTGAGATACTACCACCAAGACGCGAGCTTCCTTTCCCACGCTTATCTTCGCCGCGTTCCTCTGGCAGCGATAGTGTGCGACCCTCTACTGGCACGATGGGTCCTCCTCCTCTACCAGCCCGTGTAGCCAGTAACCGACCTGGTTCCAGTCGAAGCGCAGCGAGCAAGGAGATTGAACTTCCTCCACTTCCCCAACCCACTGTCATCAGCAAAACGGCACGTGGAAAGCAACCGATGCAGCAGCCTCCTCGCACACCGAACCAAGATCAGTACATCCCTGCACGCGCAAAGACATCTCCACATGGCGGCATCGAGAATCAGTCGCCGTTGACATCGTCTCCAATCTCCTCTCCGTTATCTTTCAATCGGTCAAGTTTCAGTGCCATCCCGACACCGCAACCTCTTGGTGAACGAAGTAATGCTGCACAGAATCTTCACCATAACGTGTCGTATAGTGGTCTCGACACCCCACCTACGTCTGTTGCTGGTCATCGTGGTGTGAGCATGTCCAATCCAGGTGCTACTAGTAGTGTGAATGAAAACGACCAGCTGGCGACATATGCGATGCAGTCTGACGAGGGACGCAGAGCAGCGCTCAACGAGTTCGTCTACCGCCACCTGGAAAGCGACGACTTCCTCACGCTGGTCCAAGACATGGAGGCTACTTGGGCGAGAGTTGCAATGTAAATGCGATGAGAGGACCGCTAGCCAGAGGGATCTAGCACTGACTATGTGAAGGAAGGAGAATCTCCTCGAGACTTTTCAAGAAGACGTAGTGAAGAGTATGGAAAAGGGCGCGACGGCATCTCACAAGCATCGACACGTTCTGTTGTTTCAAACGCTTTCGTAGTTCTGAGATAGTAATACTGTTAAACGATGATGAGAATCGAAGCCCTCGTTTTGCATCTACTCAATGTCTACTCCCCTGCTCACCAACAACATACCCCCTCGCAATCCCACTCCTTCCCTCTTCCATCTTAGCCGCCCTCTTACCCCCAGCCTCTTCTTCATCCTCTACATCCCGGTAATCAGTACCCAGACCCTGCCATGTCCTATGCGAGCGCAAGTACTCTGCACCAGGCGACGCGACACCCCCCACAGCCGCTATGTCGTCATTTGCCCGTTTCGTCAGCGCCGAACTCGACGACGATGTTGCTGCATTCCCATTAACAGCTTTCGTCGCGCCACTCGAGCGCATAGGTCTCGCATGCGAAACGTAGCGACCAGTCCGAAGATCAAACTCCGGAGGTGCTGATTCCTCTTCAGAATCATAATCGCCATTCGCGTCTCCCTCTCCCTCTCCTTCATGCGCACTGCTACCAGTCTTCTCTTTCACACCCCCCTCCCCCTCATCCAAAACCTTCTGAAAATCTCCCTCCCACCTCCCCGTCCAAACCCTCTCCTCATCCCCCATCAACGCCACCTTGAGCTCCCACGGCGTAATCATCGGCCGCCAAAACTCCCTACTCTCAATCAAACTACTCTCCCAACACCCTATCACCACCCATCCGCCCACCTCGCTGAAATTAGCCACCTTGGCTGCATTCACTTTGCCAACAACAAAGGTGTAGTATTTCTTGCCTGCAGCCGCGATCTGCCGTTGGACGTGTGAGAGGATGTGCATGTAGTTTTTTACGGAGAGCGTGTTGATCAAGATGCCGAAGATGGGGGTTGTGGAGAGGGAGGTTAGGAGGGCGTAGCGGCGCATGAGGGTTTGGTGCGTGCGGGCTAGGGTGGCGGTGGGTGGGGTCGTGAAGGGGGTGTCTGTGGGGTAGATGTGTATTGAGGCGACGCGCGAGGAGAGTGTGAGGAGGAGGGAGGCTGGCGGGTCGGAGATGTGGAAGAGGGCGTAGTCGTGGAGGGCTTCGTCTGTTTCTGTTGTGTTCGGTGGTATCGTTCGGTTTGGGAGCGGCGACGAGGGATTATGTACGATTTCTGTAGCGTGGATGTGTGTGTAACCGGCGTCTTGGAGGCGTGCGTGGAGTGTGGGGATGTGGTGCGAGTATGGTATGTCGGCCATGAGGATGATCTTTGCGTCTTTTTCGCGATATGTTTCTTGGAATGTTGCGAGCACGGGGTTGAGGTCTAGTGGTCGTTCTGTAAAGACGTATACGACTGGTAGTCTTGAAGGAGGCGAGAGACATGAGCGGCCATAATGTACGACAACGTCCGCATCGACGTGCTCTGCTGCAACTTCGTCTACGCAGCACGCGCCGTATGATGTGTCGCCCAGTATAAAGAGATTTTCCTGTCTGCTCTCCTCCTCACTGATCGCCACCTTCTCCAAGCCCGCGCTGACAGCTTCCACACCTGTTGTCCCATTTGTATGTCCATTCTCCTCTTGCATCCCATCCCGCGCCTTCCTCGCCTTACCCAGCCCCCGACTCAGCTGCTCATACACTCTCGGCGCATCAGTAAGCATGTGATCTGGGAACTGCAACGCAATCCTCTTCCATCTCCCTTCGCGGATTTCCCTGACCGTGCGCTCAATCTCGTATGTGAGCGTGATCTGCTCATCGGAAAGTCTGGGTAGACTCGACGTGTCTACGGCGGGAGTGGGGTCTTCGAAGATGTGCGTGTCGGGCGTAGAGAGTACGGGCGCGCTTGCGAGCGAAGCAACGGCGGCCATTGTGTGTGGTAAGTGTGGGAAGGCTGCGTTGGGTGCGTGAAGCGTGGCGGGGTCGTAACTTTTTTTGACGGGCGCGCAACTGGCGGGGCACGCCTCGGTGATGCAGGGACGGGCGGCGCCGAAGAGCCGCAATGCATGGTATGGTAATGTCGCACGTGTGATAGGTGAATGGCAATAGAACGTTCGATATACGTGTAATGACTCAATTACTATCTACAAAAGAGAGGTGGTATCATATTTCAACCCGCGCTGAATCCAATCCCTATGTCGCCAAAAGCAAACTAGAAAATATCTCACATCATCAAGTATCCTGACACGGCTGCTGCCAGAGCAAGACCGAGGACGTTGGGCAAGAACTTTCCTACACCGCTGTCGTCGTCGCCGTTGTTTGTAGTGGCGAGCTGACCAACAATCAACTCGGGAGTGTATGGCTGCGATGTCTCGACTGTGGTGCCGTTCCAGCAGTAGTCAGTGAAGCACTGCTGGCACACTTGTGGGATAGCCTCGCCGTTGCGCTCCAGACTCCTAGAGAGGATAGCGCATCCGACGCAAGTAGGCCAGTTTGAAGCACCCTCACGTGTTGAATTTGCTTGGGTGACGACGTCGTAGCCGTTCTCGATCATGCCGTTGCGCTCTGAGATGCTGTAGTCGAGCTTGTTGAAGGTGGAGGTGTTGGACCAGAAGACGTAGGGGGCGTTAGGGAGGTAGACGACGAGAGGAGGGATGTTGTCGCCCTCGGTGACGTTGCTGCTGTTGCAACCGAAGAAAGCAGGGCGGCTGTTGAAACCTAGGGCAACGAAAGTGTCCTGGCCGGGGATGTAAGGGAACGAAGTCCTGTTCATGAGAGTGCCGCTTGCACGCTCGTAGGTTGCAACCAGAGAAGTACCGTTAGGCCAGTTTTGCGACGGGTCATCCTCCTCGACGGTGTCGCCAGATGAGTCGATAGCAAAGACGACATCGACCTGGCGTACGGGCTGAATTACCGGGTTGAAGGGAATGTTCTGGCCATCCTCACCACCGTCAACGAGAGTAAGACGTTCCCTGTCAGCACTGGGGTTCGTCTCATTGTGGTAGCGGAAGAACGGGTTGGGTGAGTAGTCGGCGATATCGTCACCATCTTCACCGATACCCTTAAGGATGTTCGATACGAAGTTTACCAGGATCTGAGGTACATCCTGGATGGTGTTCAATGTAAGGAAGATCTGGTTGAACAAGGAGCTGCTGGTTCCCATGACGAAACCCAGGTTATCGAATCCCTCAACACAGCCCTGGTCTTGAGCAAGTTCACCCTCGCTGAAGTTGGAACCGATGTACTTCAGAGGAGCAAAGCCGTAGGTTGTAGGGTCAAACGAGCCCATTTCGAAGGGGTTGAACTCGAAGTTGGTGGCGTTCAAAGAGATGATCAAGTCTCCGGGCGAACGCTCATCTGCGACGAGGATAGGCATTGGTGCGTTTCCAGACGAGAAGTCTTGGTCGTCCTGGATGGAAGAGAAGGTGTAGGCTATTGGGGTTAGTTTGTGGACTTGAAGGATCTGGCGGTAAACATACCTGGGGCTCCATCGCTGGCGTTGATGAGCTGGAAAGAAAGACCGCGACCGTAAACATCGGTAATCGACGTGTTGAAGTCACCAGCCGGCGAATCACTCTTGTCCTTGACCGTGCTGACCAAGTTGTCGTAGTACTGCGCAGTCGAGAGCAGCTGGATTCCCTTCGTGGGAGGTCCCTTGAACAGCGAGTTCTGGAATTGCCAAATCGCCGAGTCCTCGCCCTTGTTGATGATTGCCTCAACTGAGGTAAAGTTGTTGGCGTAGATGCTGCCAATCATCCAGCCTCCTCCCGATAGTGCGGAAACATATGTGGATGCCTGCAAGATTCCTCCCAGATGTCCTGCACTCGTCGAGTTCGTTGTCCGACTGTCAAACGCCGCTAGAGCACCCGCACCGTTCAGCAGGGCCCGGTATCCTCCTCCAGAGAACGAGATCGCAATGTTCGGTAGGGCGGTAGTGTTGTCGCGGTGGTTGCTGATGTATTGTCCAACGTCGAAGCCCTCAATGTTGACGCGTTCGAGGAACTCGCGCATAGGATCGATCGTGTTCGGCCTCCTCTTCTGGAGCCATTCTGTCTCTTGTTGGGAGAGTTTGTCGGCGGATCGAATGCTCGGGCGCGTAGACGGGCAGTTGACTTCGGCTGGCGCGTAGCCGTTGGGAGCCTGGGGAGAGGCACGCTTCAATATATCCAAGCCATTGGGAGGTACGACTCTAGCTTCCCGAGGAACAACCGCAGATGCTGTCATGCGTCAGCTGGGTCCCTGCAGGAACACAAGGAGGCGCATCACTTACAGGTCGCTAAACTAGTCAATGCCGAAGCAGACAACACAGAAGAATACTTCATCCTAATGAATGGATGTAAGGAAAGGAGGGCTGAGAAGGCTGAGAAGACGCGAAATGAATCGCGAACAAATGCGGAATCATGGCAATGTTAAATGATGCGCTCCATGCTGACGGGAGGCTGCGGAATGACCCACACTGCACAGGCGGCTATGCTCCTGGCTCCAACGCACCAAACGCCCGGAAGAGCTAGGAGGATCTGACCTCATAGGCGTGCTACTAGGCGTGCCACTTGTCGTGGCTGAAGGCCCTGACGATCAAACTTTATTTTTAGTCCCATCTCTTCTCGTCGAGGTTTTGTCCGTGTTTGGTTTGTAAAGTACTGTCGCATGCCCGCCTGAATCATCAGGCCCTCAGCCATCATCGGTCCTACAGATCTTCTTCGTTTGCAGCAGTTGCTAGCTGACACCGCCTTTCTGCGGTAAGGCTCTGGTCAGCGGGCACCGTTGTGGCGCGTCATCTCCCGTGAGTGGCTGGCGCTCATTTCGAAACAATACGCTTTCGGCACTCGGCAAGCTGCCGGTACGAAGGGTACGAAAAAGAACCTTGATACGACCCTGTCATCCTGGCATTGAGTGTGGTGTGTTACTTTCTCCATGTTTGAGTTGTCGAGACAAGCGTTTGGCGCAAAGTAACTGTCGCTGCCCTGTTGTTATGCAATAAACAATGTCGTCATCTTCGTTAGGCCCCTCCTGATCGCAACTATTGCCGTACATAGCGCGTCGCGTCCTCGCCGTTAGGCAGCCTTCGTAAGGGCATTTCATTCGACCGAATTCCCAGACATTGCCTGAAGATCGTGATTTTCTTCACTACAGCGTATGCGCCATGCGCAGCGAGGAGTAGCTTCGCAAATAGTTCTGTTCCGAGGCTCCGGACTCCGCCATGACGATCAACGGGCGACACATAACGTCGCGGCGGTGCTATGGCCTCGCGCTACACAACGAATCGCGACGGTGCATAGGACTAGGCTATGAGCTAGATGCATGTATGGAGATGAAAGTATTGTTGACGCGGCCTGCAGGAGATGTTGCTGAGCGTAATCGTATACGCGGTACGAAAAGAGACGCTCTCGGCAGGCGTGCCCCGCGGCTTCCACCCGAGATCGCTTCAACGGCAACTGTGTACTGCCATGTTGAGAGTACGCCACCTCCGCCTTACAAATCGTTCGTTCGTCCGAACCTAAGCCTCCACCTCCACGTCTCCTTCCAGCTCATGGATCCTGTGGCGATGGTCCGCCATCGACTACTCAACAACAAAGAGGCACTGCTAACGGGTAGCTTACTCGCTGAGAACCAGTGTGAGGCGAACCATGATTCATGCACATCGAGCATCAACGACACCGAAGAAGAGAACGCGCCTTGAATTAGACTGGACCCTGGTCACCTTCAGGTTAGTCATTGAAGTCTTACTGTACATCTCATGGAGATCTGCGGCATACAACCTCACAAGCAACGACGATGATAGTCGCCATCTTCCTATCAGCAGCATACATTGTATCAACTTCTCTCCTTGTATCTCATGCTTTCCATGTGTATTCTCCAACTACTCATTTCGTCCAGTCATAAGACCTAGTCACCGTACTTGTACGAGCCCAATCCCCTTCCTCGATCGTCGCATCTAGCACTGATCTCCACGGCAACGTTGTGCATGCCTAATTATCCCTTTCAACGACCAAACTTCTCTTGAACATATCGCGCGAGGCCACTTTGCGCCCCAGGAGCGAAAACTTGCCCCCGTAGTGGAAGTCACCCCACGTCGCGATTCCATCCTGTCCCACAAGCCTTCGTGCCAGCGCTTCCACTTGCTCGAACCTGACAGTATCAAAGATCGGGTTCTTGGAGGTCCAGTTGGTAGGTATAGTGATCTTGACCTTTCGCAGACTGCCGTCCCACTGCTTGGTGTGCCATTCGGCGATCCAAGCGTCCAAGTGTTCTTCCCAGTCCTCTGAATCTCGAAAACGAGATACTTGCCATTCCAATTCCATAGTCACATCTTTCACATGTGCGCGGTTGAGGATGGCCATGAACTCGTCTTCTATTCCCATATATTGGTCGTATTCCCTTACAATGGTGATATTGCGGAGCACTTCGCTGTTGAAGACGAGTGGGGTGGTAAAAGAGTCGTGGAGGGATGCAATGATGTCACATTCACCCTGAAACTGACAAACACGGTTGATATCGACTGCGTTGAATGTGCGCGAGGAGCTGAAACAGGAGAGGGCTTCCGAGCAGATTTGCTTGCTGGTGAGGACCCACTTTGGGATGCCCCAATTGAACGCGGGGAGGATATCGTCGTAGCGGATGTCGAAATGGTCGTCGTTGCCATCGTCTTCGAACAGCCGAACCTTGTGTGTGGCCTGGACAATTAGACCCTTGGTCTTGAAGATAGTAGGCAGTGGGCCTAATGCGTAGGTATAGATGCAGTCGCGGAGTTCTCTGGGTAAGCGGCCAAATGGGAAGGTACCGGTCGATTTCCAGCCTTGCGCAATCTCAGTTGCTCGACGGGCTCTACTGGCGATGACTTTGGCCTTCGTGCGCACATGTTGGCGTATATTAGGGAAGTATCGATCTACCACTCGGCGCGGCATCGGCGGTTGACGGTTCATCGTGGTGAAGATCTAGGTTGAGCTCAGGAAAGTGATGTGGGAACAGTTGAAAAGAACAGTATACACTCAATCAGAGCTAGCGCAATACCTGGCGGCAGGCGCCATTTGTCACTAAGTAAGCGTAAATAAAGGCAGGGTACAATCCTCTCTCACTGCGATCTGGGTAGTGAAGCCCCCGCACACCGAGCAAACAGACTAGGCAGACTGATGTCGTTATCACGCACAGGCCTTCCGGAATTTTGATGACTGCACATGAGCTGCTGGGTCGTCTGTGTAGGGGCAAGTCGCCGAATACCATGGTGTCTCATGATTCCAGTGAGTAGTCAGTAGTAAAGCCAGATAGACTTCAACGTGATTACAGAACGTGCGTAGTATACTTCTAGGAGCATGAGAACGTCTGGATGTCATGTAAGCTATCGAAACCTCCCCAGGACTTTCTTGACGTCCTCCAGGACTCTGCGAGCCCCCACCTAGAAAGACATCTACCAAGTCACGAACCTCCTGAGTACTTTGCCCCTCGCGAGCAGCCTGATCGAAGGGCCCACGTGGGCAGGGAAGAAATGACGCGGTGAGCAAGAGCAATCCGCGTTTGCAAACGCTCTCTCACCTTCACTTTGGGTTCTCAAGTCACGCTCACCTAGAAACGCGAAAGTCTCTTCGTCCATATATCGTCTATCGCCGACTCAGTTCCTACTCTCTTCTTCAACAATCTACCTACCTACTTGTCTCTATCTACACATACACATACCAAACAAATTCACAATGTCTTCCACAAGGGCCATCGGATTACGCGTGCTCACCCTGTTCGATGTCGACTCCCGCAAGGACTGGTTCAACTTCCTTCTCTACCGTTCGATGACTTGGAACGACATGGTGGTGTCAATGCAAGCAGCACTCAAGCGCGACGGTCAAGAGCTTTGGGTGCATGATAGGAATGGCGAACCCTTGACCGATACCGACCCTGTCTTCAACATGGCCAGCATCGCGGGCCGCGAGGTGTTGCTCGTCACAATTCGGGAGAACACACGTGTTACTACGGGCAAGGATTTGGAGGTCGTGTTGTATCTAGAAGAGGAGGACCCTAATGCGCTTCAGACAACCCTCCAGGTAAGTTCTCGCAAACCTGGACGCTATGAATACGGGAAACTGCTTCATTTATGTCACCGAAGTCAAAGAAGCCTGCACTGAAGGACATCTGGCTGACCCATTACTTCTAGAAACTCGATTTCGAGGACAAGCGTGTTCACATGGAGAAGCTTCGTCGCCGCGACGGTATTGAAATGAGGAACATCTGCCGCATTGTTCTTCCTCACTCCGAAGTCAAGAAACTCATCTCGAAGATGAACGGCGTTTCTCAGCACAAGTTCAAGGACGCATATTTCGTAGCCAATTCCATCATAGCTATCCGCAACAACTGGCGCGTCCGCACCACGGACCAGACCAAGCACCTCCTCAAGGATCCGAGGTGCGTCGCCATGATCAGTATCCTCAGCAAAGGCCTTCCCGGTCAACACCTCTTGGGCGAAGACTTCCTCGTCGCCGCCAAGAATGCGCGTGTGGCCGCGGGTGGGCCGTCCGAACCCCAGCATCTCATAGAGCAGGACATCTTGGATGCCATCCACAACCTGTACAAGGCCGCGGACGCGATTGATTCGACTTGGAACGACAGCAAGGCCACAAAAGCTATCAACAAGCGCGCTGATCGGATGGAAGCTTATGGCTCGCGCAAGACGGGTGAAGCGGCGACTGCATTTGCCAACGCCGAGGCCGAAGACATGGGTGAAGAGGCTGCTGAGGCGGCTTACATTGGCAAGGGAAAGGGAAAGGCGGTCGACAAGCTCGCTGGCCGTCTTGAGAAGACAAAGTTGCCGGACAACGTCATGGACGACGAGGACGAGGTTGCCGATGACGACGACGATCCAGACTACGTAGATTAGGTAGATGAAGGAGCCTGGAGGATGTCAGTGAGATGGGGGTGAGTGGAGGGATACATGCTAAGACGTCGAACACCTCTTGGGTCTTTTATGATGTCTCAGTGTTTACTTGCATGGTTAGCGAAGGTGTTCTGGGATTACTATGGCGTTTTGGTGGACACTTAATAGTTTACTGAATGGACTATGGGTACTGTGAGAATCTGACTACTTGGACGAGCATACTGAGATAATGACATACCTTTTGCGTAAACATCTCATCCCGGGACCCGCGAATATGGATATGTCGCAGTGTGATGATCGCTTTCACTTGAATAGTCTGTTTATCTGATCTCTCGATGTGACGTAGCCAGCCCATGCGGGTACTGTTTGCACGTACCCACTCCGACAGTCGCACAAGTGAACGCGCTCACCCATCACATCTGAGCAATGATAACCACCAATTGTACGTTATATACACATTAAGTTGACGATATTATAATAGAATCTGAGGAACCAGTAGCGTATGTAGCTTTGCATGTCTACCCCGTCGTGCGGGGTGTGATCCATTCTCATACCTGGTTTCGGTGAAGGCATCTATTTTTGCTCTGGGTTCGAAACTGGCCGCGTCCATCAAAGTAGATCATCTTTTGTTTTTGTTTGGCCCAATTCATTGTCGTTGACTCGTCACGCATCTGCACTGCCTTAACAAGCTTAGTCAGACCCTTCCAGCCACCCGAACAGCGCGCTATGGTATGTCTCACTGTCCTGAACTTGGGGACTATGGCCTAAGTCCTCAAACTCAATAAGCTCTGCGTCCGGAATTCGCGCGGTCGCTTCTTTACCCAACACCTCATATTTCCCTATCTTAGCCTGCACTTCTGGTGGGCTCCAAGCTTTACCGATCGCCGTGGTGTCTTTCGTCCCTATCAGAAGAAGAGTCTTGGGTTGCACTAACTCAAACTCGTACGCAATGGGTTGAGTCAAGACCATATCCGTGGTCTGCGCCATGTTCCACGCAAAGTCGATGTTCTCGGGTGACGTTTGGTAAAGTGAGACTAGCATATTGACCCACACGTCGTATTCGGGCTTCCACGTGTTGACGTAGTAAGTGGCCTGTTGGTATTTCCGGATCGATGTGTAGTTGGTGGCCAGCTCGTCTTTGTACAAGGCGTCGAGATTGCGCCATGGGACTCCAAGTGCTTTCCAGTCTTCCAGGCCGATCGGGTTCGTGAGAATGAGATGGGATGTTTGCTCTGGGTACATGAGGGCGAATCGCGTGGCCAGCATACCGCCCATGGAGTGACCTAGTACGTATGTTGACTCCACGCCTAGGCTTTGCAGCAAGAGATGTGTGTTTCGCGCCAGCTGCTGCAGCGAGAACTGGTAGGCGGGTGGTTTGGACGACTTGCAAAAGCCGATTTGATCTGGGATGATGACGCGGTATCCGCGGGCTGAGAGACGGCGCGCAGAGTCCTCCCATGTTGCACCGCAGAAGTTCTTGCCATGGAGGAGCATGATGGTCTTATTTGAGGCATAGCTGGTGTTATGAGGGGACACGTCCATGTAAGCCATTGAGAGATTCGCGCGTTGCGACGTAAACTCAAAGTACTGTACTGGCCATGGGTAGGTGTAGTTCCAGATACTGGGTGGAACCGTGTTCGCGCCAAATGCCGTCGCAACGAGTTGCGTGAGAAGTACAAGCTTTAGCCACATCCTGAAAGTGACGATGGAAACCTGAGACGATCAAATGTGATTTCGGAAGAGAGTGATGTGGTAGAACGTAAGGTTTCTATTCGAATTCTTGGGACTCTGACATGCATATGATGTGCAATGACGCCTGCCAATCTATCGTGCGTATCGCGACCCACTCTGATGCTCGTCTTCATACATTGCTTCGTATTGTGATCTGGTGCGTGGTACGAATGTGCGCATATACATTAACTTGTGGGATAGAACAAGTTCGCCGACTCTCGTTTATCAAGGTAACATCTGAATGGTGTCTTCCTCTCTTCTACGGGGTGGTCCGGTATGTAATAGCCATAATTGTACACAAGGTGCTTGTTCTAGTTGCCAAGAGGAGATTAATCCTCCAATGAAATGAAGGATCCCGAGGGTACTCATTCAAGATGCCTCTGTGCCCAGGCGTTGTGCTATGTGGCGGTTATCGTCTTTCCACGGCCATGATTACGAGCTCCAGGATCGTTTACATGCATCTGCCGTTTTCCTCAAGCAAGGAAGAAGCCCTGTAGTCGATTGCCGGAGTGATCAAGCATGCCAGGTTTTGTTGTGAGGGGAATCTGCGGACTAGTTCCCAACATGGCTAGCACCAAGCTGCGCGTCTTGAACCCCGGAACCCCATCAGATTTCCAGCTTCCACTCCTCCGCGCCCCAGTTCAAGCCACACCCCGCGGTCGGACACAAAAGACATCCATCCCGACCCCTGCATCCACCATCCATGATGCCATCGCCACGAGGCCGGCGGGCTACATACAGTGCCTAAACGGCTAAATTACATCGGACCTGAACCTCGGATGAAGATGCATAGACCACTATCGCGATGCTGCGCTCGGTGTGATCTAACTGCAGGCCAAGCGATACATCGATCTAGAAGGATTCGTATCCATTGCGATATCAAGTGACAACCGAAGATCCATATCGCATGCTCACTTTGAGGCGAGTGTATTCGCTCTGGGCACGATAGGTTTTGGTACGCCTTCGTCGCTCAGTAGAACCGTTGCGGTACCCGTCCTCTGCTTAAGCATTCTGCCACTGCCCCTGCCTAGTGATCGATCTACACCTCGTTTCCTGGGGTTAGCCCGTTCTCGAATGCTTATTTCCAATAGCCTCATGTGGAGGGGAACTGCTTGTGGCTAGCGCTGCGGTTGTTCATTTGCAAGCACGACGCCATCCGGGTTACCGGCGCCGTATAAGAGGACTAAGATGAACGACCATGATTCTCCAGCTGTCGATCAAGTCTCTACGCCAAGCTGGACATTCAAGATGACAGTCATCACCACCCTTGTTGCCGCTGCGGCGGCTGGTATTGTTGCTGTCTCTCAGGCTTCACCAGTGGGATCAGCACCTGCCGTTGGCGTTTCGAACGCAAAGTCCTCTTTGACACTCATTTACCAGAGCAACCTCAACGGCTCAGACGACAAGAACCACATCGGTGCCATCATCCTCGACCCCGTCCCTCAAGCCAATGCAGCAGCAGCCTGTGCCTCGCTCAACGAGAAACTCATCTCCAAGGCTACGCTCCAGAAGTACCAGGCTGATTTCAACGATGCTCTCTCGTACCAAGATTATGCCAAATACACCGACGCTGAACGAGGGTACTACATCGACAGCGGCGTGGTTTCAGTCGGCAACCGAGTGAAGTACATGTCCGCTTCATCACACCACAAGCAACTCCCAGTCTTGTGCACACAGTCGGCAAACAATGGTTCAGCAAGCGCCGGGCCTGTAAACGGAAGTTCCATCTCAGTAGCATCTGGTGGAAATACTTTCGTCGGGTACCGCAACCAGAAGTCGTTCAGGTTCCTAGGTATTCCATATGCCGACACGCCTACCCGTTTCAAGTACTCTTCACTCTACTCCAAGAAGGGCCAAACGATCCAGGCCACTGAGTACGGTTCGAACTGCATCCAAGGCGGTGGTGGAAGCGAAGACTGCCTTTTCCTCAACATCCAAACACCATACATTCCCAAAGTCGGGTCGAAGAAGCAGCTCCGACCCGTCTTGTTTTGGATCCATGGTGGTGGATTTACCGGAGGAAGTGGCGCTGATCCACTTTCTGATGGTGGAAACCTTGCCAGTAAGGAGGATCTTGTTGTTGTCAACATCAACTACCGTCTTTCCACCCTCGGCTTCCTAGCCATTCCTGGAACAGACATTAAGGGCAATTTCGGTATCGCTGATCAGATTGTGGCGCTCGACTGGACTATTGCAAACATCGCTGCCTTTGGTGGTGACCCAGAGAGGATAACCATCGCTGGAGGATCTGCCGGAGCCGGCTCGGTCCGAACGCTGTTGGGCTCTCCTAAAGCCATCGGAAAGTTCCAAGGCGCAGTTGCGCTATCTAACCTCGGAGGAGGCGTAACGCTTGGCCTTGACGGTGACTACGGAACAACCTATTCAACATACTACACGGTCAACCAAAGCTACACCGTCGCCGGCCCTCAGATCTTTGCGGCCGCTGGCTGCAACAGCACCGATGTGTCAACTCAAATCGCTTGTCTCGACAAAGTCCCTGCTGCAGACCTAGTTGGATTCAACACCGTAGCTCGATACGTCGTCCAAGACGGTACTTATGTCAACACGCCCGAACTCATCATCTCAACCCGCAATGCCAGTACCGCGCACATTCCCGTCATCTTCGGTACCGTCCTCGATGACGGCGCTTCATTCTCCACATACCCCACAAGCCCCATCTCAAACCACTCTCAAGGCCTACAGGAAGCACTCGGTATCAACAGCACATGGGCAGAGCGCGTCATCCAGTCCGGTCTCTTCCCCTTCACCAGCACTGGAAACCTGACGCTCGACTCATTCAACGTCTCGCAACGCATTGCGACCGACAAGACATTCCGCTGTGCCGATCAATCTACAGTCTACTCTGCCTCGCGATCAAAAGCTTTCTCAAAGACATACTACTACCAGCTCGACCGTTCCATCGACGGCTACGACCCCAACAACCTCGGAGGCCCCGCCAACGACAACCCCGATAACCCGTACTTCCGCTTCCACGGCGCAGATTCGCCTTGGTTCTTCGGCGTCTTGAATCGCATCCGCGAACCGGAAGATCTGTGGAGTATTCAACTTACTACCAGCTACTTTGCTTCTTTCATTAGGAGCGGCGACCCGAATCCTAGCTTGAAGTATCTTGATGTAAGAGGGTATTATAAGGTGCTTGAAGGTGTGACGAAGTACGGTCAGTGGATGCAGGTCGATGCTACTAAGAAATCGGGAGATGAGATTAGGCTTTTGGATTGGCCGAGCAAGAGCGCTGGGTACACGGATGTCGAGCAGTGTGATTGGTTGGGGTACCCTCTGGACTACTATCTTAACGGTGGTATCTGAGACTGTCACTGCTATGAGTCGTGTCCGTATACAGTCATGTATAGGAAAAGCCTTCATAATGCATGTGTAATCGTCATCATAACTTCGAACAAGCCACGATTGATGCAGTTTATCTAGAACACCTGCAATGAAAGCGAATGATAATCGCATTGCTAACGTTGTACCCACGCTGATATTCAATGCTATTCTACTCGCCCCCACCCTCACCAATCCGTCCTCATACTATAATAAAAATTCCCACTAACCTTCCCCAACAAATGATCCCCATACCTCCCCCTCCCATACCCGCCCTTCCCGCCCGTCCTCTCCACACACTTCCCCAACGGCTCAACCCACGCCTCAAAATTCGGCTCATAGAAAAACGGCACACTAACCCTATACCTCTCCCCCCGATGAATAACCCGATGTTTAGTACTCTTCCACAACCCGTTGGTCCACCGCTCAATCATATCGCCGATGTTGACGACGAAGGCGCCGGGGAGGGGGTCCGCGTTTAGCCAGGTTGTTCCGTCTTTGAGGAGGACCTGTAAAGAGGAGGGTGTGGGGTCTGTGAGAAGGAGGGTCACGCAACCGTAGTCTGTGTGGGCGCCGCAGGAGAATTGGTCGATGTTTTCGTCGCCCGAGATGGGTGTTGTGAGGGGTGGGTAGCCGATCATGCGCATGACCCAGAAGGAGTCTGAGCAGTTACGTAGGAAGATTTCTTCGTCTTGCGTTGAATCTGTTGCGCCTTCTTTCGGCGGGGGACCGAGGTCGAGGGCTACGCCCATGGCGTGCACGAGGGCTTCGCCGACTTTCTTGACGCGCGAGATGTATTCTTCGTACACGGGTCTGAGCTGTTCGGGTTTCTCGGGCCATAGATTAATACCTTGAAGACTCTTGACGCTGCCTGGTCCACCATCGCCTGGTTCTCTTTTGTCGGCGGGCCAGTCCCGGTACCAGTCAATGGCTTCTTGCATGTCTTGCAGCCCGCCCGTCACGTTTTCGCCCAGCCCCTGGTAGCCGCGTGCGCCGTCGCCTCCTTCCGGGCTGCCGGCGTCGAAGCGCTTGATCTTGTTTTTTTCTTCTAGGGGTAGAGAAAAGAAGTCACGCGCCAAGTTGATGATTTCGTCGAGTTTGGTCGTGGGGATACCGTGGCCGGTTAGGTAGAAGAAGCCGTAGTTTATGCAGGCGGCGTTTATGGCGGAGGCGGTTGTTGAACGGGCTTCTTGCGAGGAAGAGGGGTCCATGAAGGGGGATATGTCGATTATGGGCAGTCCATCTTTTTGGGCGGCGGCGATGGGCTTATCGTAGCGGGAGCCGGAGGCGGGAGTGGGATTGAGATTCCTGGGAGATGTGGATGTGGTGCCATTTGACTGTTCATCTCCTGCTGAATCGGGGGATATATTCATATCTGACATTGTGTCTTCCTTCAAATGACCGTGTCTTCCTTGGTTTGCAGGCACTCTTTCAATTCAGAGATCGGTGGATGGATCGTATCGCCTCTGACTCAGACACGACAACGGTCCTAGTAACTCACAGTCAATCGTCCTGAAATGGAGTCAGCAGTCATTTATGATTTTATATGAGCACTGCGTGTAGATTTTGATGAGGTTGGCGAGTTGGTACAAACGTGTGTTGGAGTGGAAAGGTCGAGATGTCGAATGTTCGGATGGCGATGCCTGATCGAGACTAGACGCGGCTATTCTAGGACATGTTCAAGTTAAGACGCAATAGCGGTAGACATGCATTCAGATCATGCTACTGCGAAGGACTTTGTCCAGGGTGATGACTACACACGGTGTTTGCTCAGGATAAGGATTTTCCACCACACGCATGGTGCACGTCAATCATCTTGCTGTCAAACAAGGCATGCCAGCAGAGAGCAGCGCCCCAAGATACGTATCTTCACAAATGTAAGCGCAAGATCACTCTGGCTATCATCGTGGCTTCATTTCAAGTATAGTGGTATATCGCTCTATCCAGTGACCACATGTCATGCATCGCATCATGATTAATTTCTATAGATGCACCTGCATCGCATCATCACGCACTGCTAACTAGCAACACACTGCTACCAACCGTGGTCATTTACATGATGACCTCGTTCGAGACGTCCTGTACAACACGTTAGCACACGCTGAGAACTCAGATGTTGATTGACTTACCCTCTTGAGCTCCTTGTAGGGCAGGCAAACACAGTTTTGCACGCGAACCTCATCAGCAACAGCACACTCCTTGCCGAGAATGGTGATGCTCTGAACCTTGACGCCGTTCTTGATGACGCTGGTGGTGTGGCTAGTGACGGGGGTAGGAGTGCCCTCGACACGCGCCCAAGCACCGACCTTGCTGTGCCAGCCGATGATGGTGTACAAGACGCATGCATCGTGCTTGATTTCGGAGTCTTCGAGGACAATGGACTCCTTGACACGTACACCAGCGCCAATGACGACGCGGGGGCCGATGGAGACGTTGGGACCGATCTTGGCAGTTGGGTCGATCTGCGCGGAGGGGTGGATGTAGACGGGGGGTAGGATGTTTGCGGAGGGGGCGGCGAGCTCTTCTGAGCCTGCCTGGAAGGCCTTTAGGAGGTACAGAGCATTCGCTGGCACGGCGGAACCAGCGGTCTTGATCTGGCGCCAGAAGTCCTTGGTCTCGAGGACGAAGAACTGCCTGCTGTCGGCGATGTCAGACAGCACATCCTGTTCCAATCGGATAACAGCATTCTCCTTGTTGTCATCGTCGTCGTCGTTTTGGTAGAAGGAGGATTCGAGGTTCTCGGAGGAGGGGTACGAAAGCAGCCGTGGGCGCTCGGTCCGTCGCTTGATGGCGCTGCGGATGGCGGGGAAGATGCACTCGGTCGCGAAGAGGTAGACGCCGCAGTTGATGAGGTTGGAGATGTGCGATTCGGGCTTCTCGACGTAGTGGAGCACGCGCTTCGTGTGCGCGTCCGAGACAATGCATCCGAAGTTGGAGGCGGCGTCGTTGGCGACCCGCGTACCCAGCATTACCGCCTCCGCATCCTTGTCCTCGAACAGCTTGAGCATCTCCACCAGCGGGAACGAAGAGCAGACATCGGCGTTGAGCACAAATAGCTTCTCGGGCCTGCCCTTCAGTATGACGTCGCGGAAGTGGTAGAGACCGCCCGCCGTGCCCAATGCCTGGTATTCGCGGAGGTACTTAACGCTCAGGTGCGGCCAGCTGGTCGAGACGGCGTTGATGAACTGCTGGAAGACGGACTCCTCGTAGTAGCCGACGATGAAGACCTCCTTGATCTCGGGGACGTTTGTGATGGCGCGGAAGCAGTGCTCGATTATCGGGTGGCCGGCGATGGGGAAGAGCGGCTGGAGCAGCGTTAGCGGGGATGTCCTGGGGCTGTCTATTTCGCGTCGTCGCGTACCTTGGGCAGTTCCATAGACAGAGGCCTGAAGCGTGTGCCGCGAGAAGGGCCTCCGACCTAGTCTGGTGAGTAAACATGACTGCGTCGGTGTTGTGGGCAGTATCTACCAGAATCACGGCCTTGGTCGAGCCTCCAGACGGAGACTTGGGCCTCATGGAGAGGGAAGGCGGTTGCAGACTCATAGTGGCGTAGTTTTGGATGTGAAAAAGCAAGCAGGAATCAAGAGATAGTTGGAATGTCTCAAGATCAGAAGAAAGGTGCAGTGAGTACAATTGCGAATCTGGCCTTCAGGAACGAGTTGGTGGACCCTGGAAATCCAGCCCACGTTGGCGTTGGCGGTGAGGCGCCCTGGCGAATCGGGGCGTCGGCGCATCGTCAGGTGCAGCTCAACTTCATCCCTTTTCACACGCCAGCTGTGAGGGAATACGAGCAAGCTAGATCCGTCGCGCATATACGATGTCACAATGCTAACAATTCTGCTACCAAAATAACAATCTGGATTCTCGATGACTACTAACCATATCGTCTGTCGAAGCCTCTTACCACCTGTGCTATACCTATTGGGGATTCCCATCAACTCCACATCCCAACTACTTTCCTACGCCAGTCGCGAGCTTTTTGTTCTTCTTGATCAGCGCGTTGAGCTTCTTCTCCAACACATCATGTTCTCTCCTCGCCGCATGCATCGCTTGCTCCGCCTCTTCCATGGTCAGCACACTACCTCTTCCTCTTCTTGTGTTGCCATATCCACCCATTCCAGCTGTCGTCTCAATCGCGTTCATTAACCCCTGCATGTCCAGTCCGCTTCCACCGCCATTTCCAAAGGTGATGTTGCCGTTGCCGTCAAGGCCGAACTCTTGTGAAGACTGGTAGCCAAGTCCAGCACCCACGAGCGCCTCGAGACCCTGCACAAACACGCCGCCAAGCTTGTCAGCCGCCATCAATCCCATGCCGTCTATTTCTGTGCTTCCTACCGCTCCCCCCTCAACCACTGCTTTGGCCGCTTTGGCTAGTCGGTTCGAGTTGACAGAGATGTTCGCTGTTCCGGCGCCAGGTGCGCCACCAACAGCCGCCATCTCGGGACGTGGCTGGTTTGGCGGTGGGTTGTCCGTCTTCGGGAGAACGTATTGATTCAGATAGGCGCCAGCATCTGCGGGTGTTTGCTGCTGTTGTGGGGGAGGGACCTGGGGCATGGACGCGTCCTGGCCTTGTACCGGTGGCAAGGGAAGGTTCGTCGAACCGAGAAGTCCAGAAGAATTGTCCAGTCGCGGCATCTGCTGTCCGCCGTTGGTGTTCAGCTTCTTACCTGCCTCCTTGAGTGCAGTCGCGATAGCTGGGAGGACGTCATTTGAATGCGCTGAAGTAGTCATACTGTGACCGTGTGCATTTTGCTTACGAGGGTGGAAGCGGGCATGGCCTTTGAGCTCCTCGATATGCTTCTCAAGCTCAAGTGCCTTGTTCTCAAGCTCTTCAGTCAACCCCCAGAAGAACTTGCCGTTGGGTGTAATCAGAGTCCTGGAGTCTAGCTTTGCGTCCTGGCTGTTCAGACGTACTGGCTTCTTCTTCGCAAGCGCCTCAAGGTCGGCTTGAGAAAAGTGCAGCTTCAGATCCGGAGGTGTAGACACATTACCGTTCTGAGTAGAGCGGGTGGCATGAGCGAGTGACGAAGACAACGGTTTGAAGAACTCAAGGGTCGATGCAAGGAGCTCTCCCGTGCGCTGCAAGTCAGCCATGATCGACTGAGCTGAATGTTCCCGCTTTTCCTTGGGCTGTTCGGGCTCGGGCTCCGGTTCAGGTGTTGCTGTTGCCGAGATCTTCGCTGACGAGACTCTCCGTGAGGCCACTGTCGGCACTTCAGGTTGTTCCTCTTCGACAGTAGCCGGCTTAGGCGAGGCTGGCTGACTCTTGAAGGCAGCGGCAATAGGTTTAGCGTTTGTTGTCGGCTTTTTGGCTTTCTTCTTGCGCCCAATGATTGGAGCTTGCATTACCTCAACATCCGACTTGTTGTCTTCCAGTATTTCTTCTTCTATCTGCTTCTTTCGCTCTTGTCTATCCTTCTTGGCTTGTGACTTTGTCTTCTTCCTAACAGGCGCAGTCCCGACCTTACCGCCGATCGGAGGCGGTGAGCTGGCCCTGGAAAATGATGTAGAAGTAACCGAAGCAGTGTCCGATATCATTTCGCTTGGTGTGCCTGGTATATTGACGGAAGCGATACTCGCTTGCCTAGATCGAAGCTTGTCGACCGTTGGGATCTGAGGCAAGGACGGTTGTGATGCTGCCGAAACAGGCGGTGGCACTTCTGTCTTTGGTGTTGCGACGACACGCAAAGTCCTCGGCGCACCCGCGCGCTTGATTGGCGATCCAGTCACCGCTGCGGCGGGACTTGGAGGTACAGAACCGGCTGATGTTGTTGGCACAGAACGACTGCTTTTTGGCTGAGACTCTGCTTTGGATGAGTTTGGAGCAGGAGAATTTGCTTCAACCGGCAATTTCGTTGCTGCTTGGATATCGAGTTTGCCAGGAGGCTGTCGCTTGGTCGAAGCTGGAGGTGTCGCAGTCGCCGCAGGGGTGCGCGCTGTCTCTTTCTGTGGCTCTCTCTTCGGGGTGGTCTGAACTGCAGCTTGAGTTTTCTTAGAGGCACCCTTCGATTTTGGCGTGTCCTTGCTGATCGTTTCCGCCATCGACTTCTTGGCGTCTGGTGTGGACTTCGGTGTCTGCAAAACATCTTCTTTAACTGCTTTTGAAGCCTCTCTAGGTGTGGGTTCCTTGGGTGTCTGGGGAACAACTGCTTCCCTGGTCGTTGTTCTTGAGGGCGTCATAGGCGCAGGTGAAGGCTTGGAGACAGTGGTCGCGGTAGGTGCTGCTGCAGGAGTTGCAGGTCCAGTAGTCTCAGCTTTCTGCTTACCCTTGGTATTCTTGTTAGGAGTTGAGTTGGGAAGTGGCGTGGCAGGTACAACAGGCACGGCCGGTATGATGGTCGAAGATGTAGTACGGGACATTGGTCGAGATCCAGCACGCGAACGTGACTCTTCAAGGACTGCTTTGGGAATTGCTGGTACTGTGAAGCCAGGCGGTATAGTAGGAGTCGATCGGCGAGGATGCTCGAAGAATTGGCCGCTTAGTGGAGTGCTTGGAGCGGGCCGTGTTGGCTCATTGTCGCTGTCGTTAACAAGTGCATCGACGTTGATAGATGCCTGTTCCTCTACACTCAAAGATCCATCATCTGCAATACTACGTCAGCACTAGAATCTTCAAAGTGTAAATTGACAAAAGCGAGGTCATGATCTAAGTACGGCGGCCGCCAGACGATGGTCAGGATGGGTTGACAAAAGCGTAAGGTACATCATGTTGCAAAAGTCGTCTCTCGAACATCTTCGTCACTTGGTGGGCAAGAAAACAGTGAACAGGCCATCTCTCTATTAGAAAGTAAGCATGCCGACATGATGCGGCAGGAGGGGTAGTTACGTACATGCGATGGCCATGACGAAGACGACGAGAGAAGCCAACCTTTGCAGCGGCAGGACAGCGCAATCCACCAAATCATGACAGAAAATGAAAAGAAATGAGAAGGTATAGGTGCCGTGAAGACATGCCGGGGCAATATGCTTTGACAAAATCCGTGCAGTCCAAATCATAACGCCAGGCGATCCAGTGTCGAAGCACTGGATATGTGCCGATGCATTCGCCGTAAGTCCGAAACGCCATGCAGCCATCGTTGAAGTAAAGTACTAAGACAAAATGTCAAGCCGCGAGGCCGACCCGAGTGCAGAATGAAAGTGACTACCATCGTCCAGCGCCGCCGTAGTTGTTGTTGGAATAGAGCGAAGAGAAACCACCTTGACCTTGACCATACATGCCCTGCCCGGCCATTCCGCCTTGGTGCAGCCTCGCCTGCAAGATACTCGGGTCTTGGACATCGGCAAGACCGCCACCCCCAGAGGAGGAAGTGTTGGCATGCCTATGCTTCTTGCCCTTTTTCTTGGATTTCTGCGAACCAGACTCCTGGTAAGCTCCAGGCGAAGGTCCATAAGGGAAGCTGAGGAGGCCAGGGGCAGGGGCAGGTGTGGAAGTTGAAGGATGTTGATTAAGGAAAGAAGGAAACATTGACTCACGCTTTCCAGCATCAGCTAGTCTAGCACCACCGTCCATGTTACGGCTGCGGAGCAGGTCTTGATACATGGCATCATTGTTGTTTCTCGCCGTTGCGCCAGCCCCGTAGGGTAGACCACCGGTAGCGAAACCGTGGCCTTGGCCGAACATGCCAGTCCCGCTGACCGGGGGTGTGCCAGTAGGCTTGAGTCCTGGAGGGGGTCCCTGCACGTTGGTGAAGAACTGCCCACTCAACTGCTGATGCTGAGACATGGGGTTGAATTGATTGGCATTCTTGGGCATCATCGAGTTTTGCTGGCTCATCAGCTTCTGGTTTGCGACAGGCTGCACATTCGCAGAAGCGGAAGCGCTGTCGTTGGCGAAGCTAAAGCGTGAAGTGTGCCTGGTGTGGCTAGAGGCATTCTGCTGTTGAGGATGCTGGGCACTTGGCATGTTGTTCAGTAGGCCCGTGGCTTGGGTGCCAGACTTGAAGTTGGAGAGCAACAGCTGCTGCTGTTGCTGTGGTGTAAGGCCTCTGTTACTCAGTCCCAGGCTGCTGAAGTCCTCGGCCAAAGGCGTGTTCTGTCCGAAAAGGCTGCCTCCAAAACCTTGCTGACCAGGTGGTGCAATCGCGTGTTGATTGAGGTGGTTGGTGCTTGTCTCGGGACCGTCTTCGGGCTCTCCGCCTAGCTGCAAGCTGCCGCCAGCCGTTGCTTCGTTGTCTTCACGCTCAGCAGCTGGGGCTTGCTGGGACGCTGCCTTTGCTACAGCAACAGCTTCTGCTTCAGCCTCGCGCTGCAGTGCCAGTTCCTTCTCCTTCTTTTCTTTAATGGCACGACGCTTAGCACCGCCATTGGGATCCAGGAGTTGAGGAAACTCGGTGACAGCTTTCAGTTCTTCCTCAGATAAAACGGCGCTCGAGAACACGAACTTGAAGTCTGGCGAGCAGATGACCTTCAGTAAATCGTGAATACCATTGTCGCGGGGCTTCGGCGGTCGGGCAGCGGGTGCGGGTGTCGGAGCAGGCGGTGGGGTTGCAGCCTTCGATGCTTGTGCAGCCTTCTCCTTTTCCCTCTCTTTCTCCTTTTCTTTTTCTTTTTCTTTGTCCTTGCCCTTCTTCTTTGGTGGCTCAGCTGCCTTCGATGGTTTGGGTGGTTGCGCGGGGACAGCATTCGTGACCATGGGACTGGCGTTGTTCGAAGCGACCGTGGATCGGCTGGCTCGGCGTTCCAGCAACGCCTTACTGCCCCAGCTAGCGGTTGCAGGCAAACCGGGCGCCTCGTGTATCGAGCTCGACGTATCGGTACTATCCTGTCGATGCATCGGGATGGCGGCAGCGACAGCGGGACCCTGGTGAGCGGGGGGCGCGGCTCGAGACGTAGACGATTGTGACGGTTGTTGCGTCTGGATGGAGTTCATCATGGAGAGATCTTGGCGAGTGAAGCTGTCGTTGTCTTCGCCGGGTTCGTGCAAGAACATGCAATTGCGATTATTGCAGGTCTCGCCGCGGAGATACGCTGAGCAGTACTTCGTAGTACCAAATTGAGCTCTGCAAGAGATGTGAGCTTGTTACATGACACGTGTGCATGGATAGAGATTCACATACCTTAATGTCCTCTCGCCATTCTGAGAACCGTCGACAGCATTGATGCACTTCTCTGCATCTTCCTTGCGAGCGAATGTCACATAAACACCCACCGACTGTTGATGCTGCGCGTTCTCCTTGGCTTTGCTGACGACAATCTTGAGGATCTTGCCGTACTGGCCGAAGTAGTCGTCTCCGCGAAGAGTTTTGAGTAGTTCGTCTTCGCGTATCGTCGGCGTGAGACCGGTCACGTATACGAGGTTCTTCTGGACGACACGCAGACCAGACAGGTGCTTGCGGCTGAGAGAGTCGGCTTCGGCTTTCTGTGCTTCCTTCTGCCGTATCTGGGCGTTCTTCTTGGCCTTTTGCGCGATGAGCTGCTTGTGTTGTGCCATCCTGGGCAGTGTCAGATGTGTTTAGAGATGGAAGGTGCAGGGGACCCACTCTTCGGGGGAGATGGTCTTCCACTCGATCGTGGAGTCATCGTAGGGGCGGCGGCAGGCGGGACACAGTCCGTTCATAGTCGTCTTGATGTTGTTGTAGCAAAACTGGCATATCTGGCACGTGGGTCAGCATGGGACTCGAGATGGTTCACCGAGTTTTGGCACAAAGGCGTACTTGGTAGCCGCATGGGCAGGGGCGGAAGTTCCTGTCCGAGAGGTCGAACTCTTCGACACAGAGCGGGCAGCACTCCTCCTCGTCATCGTCGACGAACTGGTCCTGCTGCAGTCGAGACATGGTGGTGTGTGGTTGCGATGTGTTGTTGAGAGCGGGTGGCGCTCAAAGTAGAGATACGTGGGGTGAGACGAGACCTGGGGGGTCGGGACGAGAGGTCAGTAAGGAAACCGCGGAAGTACAAATAAACGCCGGCCGGAGTGTCGCTGTCGCTGGAAGAGGGATCCACAGGAGGTGATGGGGGTTAAGAGGCTGCACCTGCGCGATGGCACACCAGGTTCCGCTTAACGCTAGCGACTTACATAAGCGCGCATTTGCGGGTGGGAGCTGCGAACTCGACGACGTCGACGACATCACCACCCGCAGTCGCCCTCACCTGCTACATCGCGTAGCCTCACCACTCTCTCACCGCACAGAATGGCTATGCGGCTAGCTGTAGGCCGGCCATTGGGCGCCGCCGTCCGCGCCTCGGGCTCCTCCCGCCATGCAGTTCGCACCTTTGCCTTCACGGCTCTCCGGGCAAAGGAAGTCGCGGGTCCCGAATCGGAAACGCCAAACATGAGGGTGCGCATGTCACATGATATAGCGAAGACGTGGTTTCTAATGTAAACGCAGTTTGCCCCCCGCGACGAGACCGTCACGCTCAAGCGCGCCATCGTAAACCCGGCCGACCACTACAAAGAGAAGGGCGAGGCTCTGCACAAATATGGCCAGTACATCATGTCATGTCTGCCCAAATACGTCCAGCAGTATGTCAATTCACACCTGGGAGTAACTACCGTCTGACCCTACCCAAGGTTCTCCGTCTGGAAGGATGAGTTGACCATCTACGTCCCGCCCGCCGGCATCATCCCCACCTTTACCTTCCTCAAGTACCACACCGCCGCAGAGTACACACAAATCTCAGATATCACTGCCGTCGACTACCCCACCAAGGACCAGCGTTTCGAGGTCGTCTACAACATGCTCAGCATCCGTCACAACTCGCGCCTGAGGGTCAAGACGTACGCGGATGAGGCCACTCCAGTACCCAGTCTGTGCGATCTCTACGATGGTGCCAACTGGTACGAACGTGAGGTCTACGATCTTTTTGGTGTCTTCTTCGTTGGACACCCAGATCTGAGGCGAATCATGACCGACTACGGTTTCGACGGCCACCCACTGCGAAAGGACTTCCCCATGACCGGATACACTGAGATCCGATACGACGAGGAGAAGAAGAGGATTGTTGTAGAACCCCTGGAGATGACACAGGCTTTCAGGAACTTCCGTGGTGGCTCATCAGCATGGGAGCAGGTCGGTCCTGGTGATGACCTCAAGCCAGAGAACGTAAGCTATCCTTCATACCACGTTCTCGACTCAACCTCTAACAGGCACGTAGTTCAAGCTCCCAACGCCAAAGCCAGAGCCTCCCAAAGAGGGAGAGCAAAAGAAATAGAAGGTTTAGAGCATTTGGATTGTATATACCTGCGAATGAATGTGATTGTACAACATCCGATGGCCCACAACGTATACCCGCTGCTGTGATGATTAGCTCGGTGTAGTTGCTTCACTTGTCGGCGCTTTTGAGTCTGCACAATTCAGATTGCACGTCGGAGTAAGATTCACAAAACTTTCATATGGGATTAGCCATGCTAGGCACGTGTCCGACTGCTGCAGCACGATCGCGTCTCGTATTTCGTATTTGAAGTCTCGATGCTCATGCCAAGCAGATCTCGCATTTCCCCGCCCAATCAGGGAAGCGCCTAGCACTGCACCTTCCTCCGTCAGTTCCCACTTGTCGGGTAAATATCGGTACCCGCTAGACAACGTCTTGCATGATCTGCCGTAGTATGGCTTGATGTGTAAGACGAACCACCATAGCTACCCATCGGAAGTCAAATCTTGCACGTTCTCACCCGGAACAGTACCCCGCTTTCCCCGGCTGCATCACAAGATGCCGACATCCCAGGATGAAGAGGCTTCGGGGTAATCTCCTTTGGTATCCTCAGTGGGCTCTCTCCATCGCCATCACAATCATCCAGCTGTATCATACCGACGTTCTACCGTACTTCCGACTTCCAGCCAATCGCATGCGTTACCATACTTTAGCAGTAATCGCCGTCGTCACACCCGTAGAGTTGTCTTGCATCACTGTGCCAAGGTATAAATACAATCAAGATTCCATAGATTAACATGCATCATCAAGATGAAGTCCTCTATTCTCTCTTTCCTCGCAGCTACAGCCACAGCCGCAGTGACCATGTCCAACACGACTACCACAACCATCAAGCCTTTCAGCCTCTCGGCTCCACCAAACACTGACATCTGGCGCAAGCCTCCCATGCACAACGCCTTCAATGCATCGACCTACCCAGAGCAGCTTCCAAGCTTCACTCTGAAGAACTTCCAGCGAGCGCAGCTGTCGTTCGAGCTTCCACCGTCTGACCAACTCCGCCAATACGACCAAGCTGGCCTCTTGCTACATGTCACCAAGCCAGGTGTTCCAGACAACCAAACCAAATGGATCAAGACTGGTATCGAGTTCTATTACGGAAAGCCGTATGTGGCGACCGTGGGCTGTGATGCTTGGGCTGACTGGTCACTTACACCTATGCCTGAGTTCAAGAACGGTACTATGCCCGGCGCCACCATTGAGGCGAGAAGGGAGAGCGATGCGCTCGGCAACAGTCTTTGGATTTACTGGATCATCAAGGATGAGGCTGGCAAGGAGGTCAGCAGGCAGCCATTGAGAGAGGTCACCTGGGTCCTTGCGGAGGAGTATGAGCGATGGAGCGTGAGTATCGCAGGATATGTTTGCCGCCCGACCACGGCAGGTGGCGATGGCATGCTTGAGGCGGAGTTCAAGGACGGTCTGGAGATTGAGACTCTCAATCACGTGTAAGAGAAAGGTGCGAGTTTGGTGTTTGTTATGGTACGTGATATCGTCACCTGCGGTTGCGATAGTACCTGACAGCAAACAGTAGATGGTGTATAAGTTGCAGTGACGCGTTGATAGCCAGTAAATATCATCGTTTACCTCCATATATACGAACTTCCCCGCATGCATATTGCTCAATAAGGCTATCAAATCCATATCTTACGACTGCAGTGGGCACAATATGACCCAAGTCTGCTTCCAGGAGAGTCAAGTGAGCCATCACTGGCTCCTGAAACGGGTCAGCCGAGCGTAAGCGACGGTTTCACTCATTCATTGAGCAAAGCACAAACTCACTGCGCCTACCTGGAGAGCACTGACCTCTTGGCTATATATCCTCATCGATTCTGTTCTCTTGATCCACACTCCCTACTCGATAAGGATAGTGATCTAATTCAATACCCTCTACGATTCCACAATCATGGTCAACGTTCAGTTACACTGCCCGTCCACGAAGAAGACTGTCGAGGACTTCTATATCACACCATTCCAAACTCTCGAGCAAGTTCTACCGAGTGTCCGGCTTGCCCTCAATCTCAAGTACGCAAAGATCTACACCGTCGAGGCCAAATCGATCACGGAACCGAGTACCCTTCAGGAGGACCAGCGGATACTGGTAGCGGCCAGCGCCACGGAGGTTATGCTACCCGATTCGCCATCCGAGTGGGTGTTGTACGACGGCGAGGAGGGCGACGATGTGGACATGAACGTTGAGTGTTACGGCCTTGGGTGGGATGTAAGTATACGTTGGTCTCTATCAACGACAAAGCAAAGTTATTGACTAGGATGTAGGAATTATGTGATCTCGACAAGTGTCTCCATATCACCAGCCTAAACAAACAGAAGCCTACATCTCGGAACCGGATGCGCATCACACGCGAGTACGAGTCCGTCCAGGCCGACATCGACGCCTTGGACTCTACGAACTCAACTTCTGCAAGTGTTGCCGAGGATGAAGACCACATCGAGAAGTGCTGGGGCGTCGCTGTCGAGCACTTCTTGCCTACATCAATGAAGCCTACCGCTTCCAAGTCCAGTTCGAAATCGTGCGACTCTTCCACACTGGCGGTCCTAAGCATCCTCGCGGGCTTCACCCAGGGTCAATCTCGTCTCGTCTTAGGAGTCCTGGAAGAAGCGGTCGCTCTCCGAACCGAAGAAGATCAAGGTGACGACAAGGATCCCGCTTTGCAGAAGGATGATGTCATCAACGCCATTATCCTCGTCTACGAAAAGGCTGAGATCATTGAGGCTAAGCTGATCAAGAGCAAGGGGGTGAAAGGAAAGGGAAAGGGGAGGAGGCGGCCCTCGAAGGGCACTCCGAAGAAGCTTGGCGCTATGTCGAGTTGAGTGCAGTGATGGATGGACGAGGCGGCTACAAGACGGGTCTAGTGTTTACATGGCGTTACTTGAAAGAGCGAGAATATACCCGGAGTGTTTTGAAAGTGAGATTGGGGATGAGAAGTCTTACCCAGGCGGCTATATTGGGTTGTACGGTATACATCAACTATGAAAGATATCTATGTAGCTGGGAAGACAGGCTACAGAGTACAATTGCAATGGATCTGTCAAGTTTGTGTTTGTCTACCAACCGCCTTCATCACTAACAAGCAGAGGCATCAGGATATGTATACTTATATCTTCCGAGACCTCTCTTCTCACATCTTCCATATTTCTCACCCACGCGATCGAATCATGTCAGGACAGCCACCACCAAGTGCACAACCAGCAAATGCGCAAGCTAAAGAAGAACCAGCCATCTCTAGTAAGTTCGAATCCAAAGCTGTTCCCCTTGACAAATCTACCAGCCTTCTAACTAAGCAGGCCAATGGCTTCTAGACAAGCTCAAGAAGAAGTCCCGTGAAGACAAAGAAGATTGTACGTTCACCATCCAGCTCACTCCTCCTCTTCCTCTATCTCCCTCCAACCTACTACTGTACCATCCTAACGCCACCCACAGACCTCCGCATCCTCCGCTTTCATGTCAAAGAAAGCGCCGCAGAAAATAGATTGCAACAAGCACGCAATACCACAATCTCCGAATTCGTACTACAGAAACTTCAAGGTAAACGCCCGGGACACGATATCGATGCGGCGAAAGATTATGAGATGATGAAAAGGTAGAAGCTGCTCGTTGACCAGGCTGTCAGTGATGCTAAGCATGAGGGACTGGTGGAGTTGGTGAGGAGGGTTGAAGAGCTGATTGAGGGTGATGCAGATGGACAGGCTGGTGTTTGATGATGCGGGGTTGTGACGGTCAGGGGGCGAAAGACGAGGCTGTTGAGACGACGATCGAAATGATGCATGAGTCCAGTGGGTTTGGGGTCTGTATACCGCTTGCCTTGGTAAATCCACGTAGTGAGGAGGGATCAACAAAACCCATAGAGTCCATCGAGTTTGTCGCTGCGTACCAAGCACCTCAGGTACTAACAAATGATTGTCACCGATACAAGCACGACCACATACCTATATCAGCGTCAGATTCTTCCCAACATCCTTACTCCATCTGATACACACCTAGAAGACAGCATCCCGAACGCATCGCTCAAGTATCCTCAAACAATTCGATCAACATGGCCGAACAAGAACAGCCACCAGGCCCGCCAATCTATATGCCCCAAGGGCCTAAGCTCTCTTGTAACAAAGCCCCCAAATCGCCTTCTTGAAAAAGCCAGCGACTTGCTAACTCAATACCACAAAGCGGTGATGGAATACTTAGATTTCCTCCAGGCCCAATCACGACGTCCTAAAGAAGAATGTACGTACACCACTCGCCCCAGACTGGCTCCTTCTCTGCAACCGTCACTGACATATTTTAACACTTCCATAGGCCTGGCCTTCCTGAAGAAGTACATTGACAAGAGCTTGGGACGTGTAGCTGAACGGCGTGAACGCGACGAATCAGCCATAGATCTCGCTCAATTAGACGTCGGGGCTATGGAGGAAGGCGAAGAACGAAAGCGCGCGGTGGAGCAGCTCGTGGATAAGATGGAGAAGAGAATGTTCGAGTCGTTCGTAGACGCTGCCATGCATGACGCCTTACAGATTTTGACCGGGGCGGTTGAGACAATTGTGCGGAATCATGTGCCGAATGAGAACGACGCTTCTCAATCGTAGATGGAGAGGGTTGGCTAGGTTTGTAGTTTGCGTGCTCTTTGTCCTAGGGCATTGATGTAGTCGATAGCAAGCACACTCCTGGTATAAATCCTAGCGGTGCGGTGCTCGTTCATTCACGATCTTCATTGCTCTTCTCCCGATCCTCTCTTACTCAAACAAAAACTCATCTCAGACATTCCTGTCCAAAAAGGGCTTCCGAAGAACCGCCGACGGCTATGTCAAATCAAAGACCCTTAAGCCCACCAAGTCGTTCAAATGTGACCAGTAAGTACAACCGCAACGTCCTTCTTCAAGAATGAAGCAGCAGGTCTAACGAATCACAATGAAACAGGCTCATGGTTTACTCTCCCGCTCCCTCAGATATCTTCCCAAGACCGTGAGGAATGTACGTACCTGACTCTCCTCCCTTTGCGTCCTCATACTTCTGCTCCAACTCAGACTACCTAGGTAATCTACACGTTACTATAACAAAATACCATCCCATGTATTCTGACACATATCCAGACGTCCGCACCCTCCGCTCCCATGTCCACGATAGCCTTGTGGCTATAGAATCACTAAGATGCGCTGATGGGGTACCCCGGGCAAGGACTCGCGTTGAAGACCTGGAGGAGCAATTGAAGCGTGCGCAGGAGCATCTAGAGGAAGAGAAACGACGGGTGATGTTTGAGAAGGCAGTCCATGATGCTAAACACGAAGGCTTGGTGGCGTTGCTGAGCAAGGTTGAGAACACCTTATGGGGATAATGTGCGGAGTGGATACTGTCACGAGCACGAGGTATAGCTACAACATCGAAGGATACGTCGTCCATTGGGTTTGTAGTTTGTCGACTTACTGATTGTCCTGTGAACCGACAGGATATCCAGCAAACCGCACGCGTCCTATACATTCATGATACCACGCTCTCTTATTAGCAGTATCCCAGATCCGTGTCTCTTCTACCAATCCGCTATTGCACCTTGACCGACCAAACTACTTTCCACGTCTTCATCCCAAGGCCCTCTTCATAAACTCATACCAAAATGTCCGACGAGGAAGAAGCTCCACTCCCCGCAACCATCGAGATCAACAGTAGGCAACCTTCCCTCCTCCCTCTTGCAGATTCGCTGCGATAGCCGTAAGAAAGTGCCAGCTAACCAGCTCCTCCTCAACAGCAGCATGGTTCCTGTCCAAACTCCCACAGCTGTCGCATGAAGATAGGCATGAATGTAAGTAACCATCCCCATGCCACCTGCGTATTCCAACACAGCCAAAACACGCTACTAATCCAACCTAATCCTTACACAGACAACGCCGTTCTCATCCGTAACATCGAAATCATGATGGAAGAGTTGGGATTGCCTGACCGTGATCACCACGCCGCCAATGTGAACGCCGATGCTGAGGTCGTGGCAGCAAGGAGATCAGTTGCGCAAGCGAAGGAGCTGCTGAAGCTTGCGGACGAACGTTTCCATCGTGTGCATGATATATCCATTGCTCTGGGTGCGGAGAAGGGTAGGAAGATTGGAGCCTTACGTACGCTGATGAGGAAGACTAAAAACGCTATGCGGGAAGAGGGGTGGGCAGATCTTGGGGAGGCAAGTGAAGAACATGGTGACAGCTCTGATAGTAGCTGATTTCCAGGCTGTAAAAGAACCTGATGATATGTAAATTTGGTAGATGATGCCTTACATGTTACTTACACCCCAGACCCACCCATCTCATTCCTGATCTTCATCCCTTTACGCCGCCTGCGCAGCTCTCAACCCTCCTCTTTGTCCCGCATTCCGACTCCTCACCTCGGTCTGCCCAACCTCCAAATGCGTGCCTGTGCTGCTCTTCTCGAGCGACACAGCCGCCCGGTCAGTCACTTGGATATAATCCTTGGCATCACGCTCGACCGCACCAGGAGTAGAGACGTGAATACCCTCAACGAGAACCTTCTCATCGTCCGGTATCTCCAATGTAGTTTCCTTAATCTCGGGACCTTGTGTCTTTGTGCCGAAAGGAGGGTCGAAGCGTTTGCGTAGCGTTTCGATCATCTTGCCGAACCAGAACCAGTTCAGGCCGTTGAGGATGATGTTGGAGGCGAGGTAGGCGGTTATGAGCCAGAGAGGGACAGTTTGGCCTTCGGCGAATCGGAGGATGTCATGCTTGAAGCCGGCGTTGTGGAGGGTGGTGTTTTGCGATAGCTTTCCGACGTCTGGGTCTGAGTGCCTGTATGCGCCGGCAGCGTAGGCATGGTAGACGTCGGTAAAGACGCGGATGGAGTTGTAGGAACCCCACACGATGCGGCAGGAGAAGAAGGTGCATAGCAGGATTATGCCGTTGACGAGCTGGATGGTCGTGCCCGTCATGTTGAGCTTATCGCAGAACCAATGGATGTTCAGGAAGGGCGAGGAGAGTTCGTAGAGGATAAAGGTGCACGCGTAGTAGTTCACGAAGGGACGCTGTCACACGATCAGTACTCTGAATAGCTCCCATGTGCTCTGGGAAGCACCGTGGCTTACTTACGAAACCCAGCGAGAATACGCATAGGGCGCAGATAGCATGGAACAGCATGCCGGTACCGAATGCCTTGACATTCTGCAACGTGATGACCAAGTCCCATAGGAAGTAGCCTCCTGCCATAGCTTGGATCAAGCCAGACGCTCCAGTGTATCCATGCACGCGCTCCGTCGAGTCCATCTGATTCAGCTCCTTATCCGTCCACATGACCCACAGCGCCATACCGCAGACCAGCGTGCTCTGCACAAATGACACGATATGCACATCCCAGTTGAGCTTGGTTCGCGCGGTGAAGTTGGCGTATATCCGCGGGAAGAAGAAGCGTGAGATGGCGGGGGCGCCGTAGCTGAAGATAATCTGGTAGAACGTGAAGGCTATCGCGACTTCGTGGAAGTGCAGCGGCAGCGACTTCATGTTGAGGAAGTCGGCGACGGGCTGTACATATTTGACCAGGCTCTCCGGCGGCGCGAGAGGGAACGGGTCGTGCATCGTGGCAGTCGAGTGTGGGGTGCAGCAGACGCGGAGGTAGGTGGAGGTGGAGGTGTGAGAGTGATGTCAGGGCGGTAAGGGTTGCACGCGAGCAGGAGCGATGGTCCCTTCTTATGCAGGGAAGCAGCGGAGGGGCGTTCGGCAGGAAGGCAGAGCAAGAGCGGTTTTATACTCGGGTAGATACGAAGATCCAAGGCCGCGGCGGCACAATGATGCACGCCGCTCGAGGATGCCTGGGAAAAGGTGCGGATGACGACCAAGCTTGGTGCAGTCCCCTGTTCTAGGCCGAGATGCGATTAGCGAGCCGAGGACCCATCGCCCTGCGCCAGAGGCACACGACAGATTTCATGTCCACCGGGCCATTTTTGTGGAATGCTAAATCACTGCCACGGGACCGCGTCATGTTGGACGCTGTTGGATGTGTTTGGGTACAATGCACCGCCACTAGAGGCGTCATGCCGTGACAAATCTCACCCTCTTCGGACGCCGCATCACCGCATACAAGGAAGAAGTTGAACACCTAATAGAAGTAAATAGCTCCGAGGTTTTTATTGACCTGGCTAACTTTCGTTTCATAATAGAGTAGACTGCGGTGCAGCTGCCTGGCGTTTCCCTCGTAGAGGTGGTAGTGGGTATCTTAAAGCAATAATGTGATGATGATGAAGATGCCGCGCTCAGAGCCCATCAAGTCTGACGTTCTGATTGTGCCAGCAGTTGATGCATTTATCTACCTTCAACCTCGCAGCGTATGCTACGAGGAACATCTCTGCAACGTACGATGTTCTCTCGATTCTGTCGAGAAGGAAGTAGAAATTCTGCAAACTCCTATAGCTGATGATCCGATTGCTGTGACCGAGTAAATTTGCCGGGTGGGCGGTGAACTGGCTCTGTTGCGCGGCCGGTACAGGTGAGTTGAAGAGGGCATTCATGCGTCTAGCCTCTTCCATGGAAGATACCGGCGGCGTAGGTAGCCCAGAAAGATAGTCCGGCTGAGCAGACGAATGATCATGTGATGCCATGTTGGTTGGTCCTGTCCATCCTCCTGTGTTCCCTCCGAGCAGAAGAGTACCTGCTACTCTGTTTTCGGCCAGCCCTCTTTCCATGTCCAACTGTGAACCAATCCACAATGACCACACAGCTTCTGTCAAGTTGTCATGTGTGGGTACAACGTTGAAAGCGAACCCCATCTCGTGCTCGTTGTTGAAAGGATAGTATCTGTTGGTCTGGCTATGCCTCCCACCAGGGAAATAGTCTTGGTAACTGACAGTGGCATTTGAAACGCCGAGTTCGTCGTTGACCTGCTTGTTGAAGTATGCGTTGCGATGCTTCTCACTCATCGACACCAGTCCTTCTTCCCACATGAGTCGCTCGGCGACTAGGAAAAGTTTACGCACGTGGGCATGCGCCTCACGCTTCCCTCTGCAGATGGGGCAACAGTAGAATGGCATGTACTGAAGGTTTGGAGTTTGCGTGGCATGTGCCTTCAATCCTTGTAATGGATATGGAATGAAGTCTTGCCGCGGGAATGGTACAGTCGCGGACTGTCCTTGGCCCCGACTCGTACTTGTTCTGCGCCTTCTCTCAGTTTCAGCAATAGAGCCATTTTCAAAGCAGATGTTGGAGTCTTCCGGGTCGGCCAGAGGGTCGCATGCAGGGTCAATTGGACGATTGCCAGGATTGGAAGTCATGATGAGTAAGTTGTAGGAGAGAGAGGCCAAGAGAACTCATGATTTACACAGGTCTGTCAGGCAGGCTTTTACACTCTTATTTGAAGCCCTGACCCAACATGAGGATGTATTACGAGTACTTGCGAGTGTCTCACTGGGGCTTTAGAGGGTCACCGCGGTACCGTGGTCGTGAGCGGGCCAAGGTGAGGGGACAGGCGAATAAACATTCTGCCCTCAGGAGTTGTTGAATTACCGCACAGAGTTACCATCCTGCTTGTCTGACTGATCCTCAACAAACACATCCTGCGAATAGTACACCCATGTAAGGCGGAGTGAGAGAGTGCGGGGAGGTTTCGTGACGCGACTTACGCGACGGCTGCGTGCAGGGATCAAGGATGCTCAAAAGTTGGGAAGGCGCGAAAGCGGGACACATCAAGAGATCCGACTGCAGTTCTCATATTACAACCATGAAAGCTGTCCGACCATCTTTCCGCGCCAATGCAACATGTCAGAGGCAAATCTTCTGCAGCAACTTAACGTCATGCCGCATAAGTTCAATACCACGACGAGCATACACACGACCCGCATTCGCACCGAAACCCTCCATCGACATCAAACACATTCGACAGAACCCAGGACTATATGAGCAGAACTGCATAGACCGCAACTATGCTGCACATAGCAAATCGTCATGGCGGATCATAGAGCTGCACGAGCAATGGCTCGCACTCCAGCAAAGCAGTCGCGACCTACGAGAGCGCAACAATCGCATACGGGCCACTCTAGCTAGGACAGCATCGCGCGCCAAGGACGCCGACGGCAAGCCGGTAGCCTTGAGAGAAGGATTGATCAGCGATGCGAAGGCATTGAAGGCGGAGTTGAGCTCTATTGAGGCACAAGAATCCGAGATCCAAGAAGAGATAGAAGGGCTGGCGCAGGATCTACCCAACTTAAGCAGCACATGCACGCCCGTCGGCACCGAAGCAGATGTACTCGGCTACATCAACGAGTCGTCGAAATCGCAAAATCGCAAGTCGCACGTCGACATTGGGCAGGAATTGGGGATACTTGACTTCTCGGGCTCAGCGCAGACTTCGGGCTGGGGCTGGTACTTTCTGGTCGGGGACGGCGCAATGCTGGAACAAGCACTCGTACAGTACGCCCTAAGTGTCGCTAGGAGGAAAGGATGGAAAGCAGTCGCACCTCCGTCCTTGGTGTACTCGCACATTGCATCTGCATGCGGATTCCAACCGCGGGATCAGAATGGGGAGCAACAGATATACGCTATCGAGCAATCGGAGAAGGACAAGGCGAAGCCGCAACTCGCTCTCGCCGGAACTGCAGAGATACCGCTTGCTGGCATGAAGGCCAATCAGACTCTAGAGGAGGCAGAGCTTCCACTGAAGGCGGTCGGCGTGAGCAGGTGCTACCGTGCTGAAGCTGGCGCAAGAGGAGCCGACACAAAGGGCTTGTACCGTGTTCACGAGTTCACCAAGGTCGAGATGTTTGCCTGGACAACGCCCGACAACATGGGAGAAGATCACTTTACCACTCCAACGGCACCAAGCTCAGAGTCAATCTTCGATGAGATGCTGTCGATCCAAAAAGAGATACTCGAAGCACTTGGGCTGCACTGCCGCATCCTGGAAATGCCCACAACCGACCTCGGTGCCAGCGCGACGCGGAAAATCGACATCGAAGCCTTCTTCCCATCCCGAGAGAAAGACGAAGGATGGGGCGAGGTGACATCATCGTCCATGTGCACAGACTACCAGAGCCGACGACTACAGACTCGCATGCGCGTGAAGGGAGGCAAACTAGAGTTCCCGTACACGCTCAACGGAACAGCACTTGCTGTGCCCAGAGTCCTCGCAGCCATTCTAGAGAACCACTGGAACGAACAGGACAGCACGGTAACAATACCAGAGGTACTGCGACCGTTCATGGGTGGGCAAGAAAAGATACAGGCGGAGCGTCGTTGATGGTGTGAAGAAGTACTGTACGATATGTATCATGTATCTAGACTATGATGTCAGGTGGTTGGGTGTTACTGGTGCCGCAACTAGATGCGCGACACCACCCAAGCACGCCAGCCTAGAAAAAAACTGAACACCCTGGAGTCTACGTTGACGTTGGATCACCTACCTTGCAAGTTTTTGGCTTAATGTAGTCTGCAGACCTGTCCAGGTTCTTTCTTGTATGAGGTGCAAGAAACATGCAGTCAAGATATCCTATGGCCAGAGCCGTCTGAAAACCACGCTGCTTGCCCCCTGCATCAACTTTCAAAGCTTCGGACCGTCAGATGCTTGCACTCCCCTGTTTTGGCCGCGACATCCCAGCTGGTCGCCATCGAGGCTGACTCTGCGCTTGGCCCGGTTATGGCCGGCGATTGGCGCACAGCCTCCAACCTGTTCGAGCTGGGTGGCAGGGTGCATGAGGCCAGGTGCATATTGGATAGCGGCCATGTGAACAACCGCCACAGCCACTGCTGTCTGGTGCTGCACGGCTCCTGAAACATCTTCTCAAGACTGCACATGCGTCGCAAAGCAGCAGAGTCTACCCTGTCGCGCTGAACCGGTTCTGGGCCAAGGTCCACCTTTGGCGCCATCGCATTCGAGGTGGGGTGGTTAGCGGGCCATTCTCGTCTACGGCCTACGCACCAGCCTCCAGCGCTCACCAGCATCAACAACCCGGCCGCCCACCACCAGCCTGCCTGCACCGCGAGCTGCACCGCTGCGTGCAACCACCGCACCACGCAGCTCTGTTGCTGTCGCCACCTGCCCCCGCCCTCGCAGTGTCACCCGCCTCCAGCCATCCGCGAGCCGTCGCAATATTGTTGGAACGCATCATTGTCGCAAACCACCCTTTCGGCCACCCCGAGCACCACAACACCAGACCCGGACAGCGAGATAGCACACGTCGCGGCGCATGGTTTCCTACCCAGACTCGGCGAGTGCAGAGCGCTCACTGCCCATACGGCGTCCCTCGTCGGTTGTATCGCACTCGTCGCGCGCATCCACCGTCCGCAGACATCGCCAGCACCGCTCCAATGTGGGCGGCTCGTCGCTAGCACCCCAAAATGAATTCCCCGTGTTCACGCATACCGGCGACGTCGAAATCGTCATCAGCAATGGGCGGAAGGAAATGCGTTATCTGCTGCACAAGTTGATTCTGACGCAGTGCTCGGGCTTCTTCGAGGCTGGCACGAGCGATGAGTGGGCGACTGCTGGCGATGTGACCAACGCCGGGCCCAGCAACGGCACCGCCCTGTCGAGGATACCATCAGGATCACGACCCGAGCAGAAGCGGAAATGGAGGTACGAGATGGATTGGGGCAGCGGCGATGACGACCTGCCCATGCTCGTGCAGAAGGTGTGTTTGTTTACCGTCCGCGACGGCGACCATGCTAACGAGAGTACAGAAGAACCAGCCTACCATGTTTGGCGGCGACCCAAGTCCACCTGTGCAACCCCCTACTGCGCGCAACAAGCCTGCCGCACCGCAGTCAGGCTTCTTCCGCAGCATGGCCAACTTCTCCACCCTCCACGTGCCCGCGACAGCCACCCCTGAGACCGACCCCGACGACGACACCTTCCGCGACTACGACAACCTGTTCCGCATCTTCTACAACTACCCTCCCACGCTCGACTCTCTCAACATCGCGAATGCCTACGTAGAGTGCAAATCGCTCCTGCAGCTCGCCGACATGTACGACGCGCTTGGCGTCATCGGACCACGCGTAGACCATCATCTGCTGCGTTTCCAAGGCCGGTTATGGAAGCAGATCGCGAAATACCCGCCCAGCTACCTCAAACTTGGCTACATGGCACGGAGTAAAGCCATCTTCGCCGAAGCCATGGTGCACGTTGTCGGACAGTGGCCACAAGGCATCAATCAGCTACGCGGCCAGATTGCTGAGCCCGTGATCGAGCTGATAGAAGACAAAGTCGACGAGATAGACGAGCTCAAGGCCAAGATTGAAGTCAAGCTCTTCCGCCTATCCCTCACAACTAGTCGCGGCGAGCGTGTGAGCCCATCGAGCAACTGGCTGGACTGGATAGCAGTCTCGCTATTCCGACAATGGCTCGCCGAGAACACCACGCCACCCCCAGCCCCGATCCTTAAATCGCCACGTCCCCAGAATTCGCGAGATGGTGCGCCGCTGCCACCTCCACCAGTCTTCAACACCGGCCGCATATTCCGCTTGCTCGGCCAGGCCGGCTCAAGTTACCTCAACCACGACGAATGCAAGCGCTTCCTGCGACTGAACCCCGACCACTACAACCGCGACAACCTGAAGCGCTTCGAACGCAGAATCGAAGAGATCAAGGTCAAAGCCAAAGACGCAGTCAAGCCGCTGATGCGCAATTTCCTTGAACTCGACCTACGAGAAGGCGGACTTCCCTATTTGACATGCACAAGGATCGATCCGCAGGACTTCCCATGGGACGACATATAAGACTGGAGAAGGAAGCAACTATATTGAGAACACACACCCACTCGCTTCGACGTTTATGGATTGGCAGCAATCTGGCGCTTTTTGATCTATCTGGCTTTTTTGGTTTTGTTACGGATGCGGAATGTTTTGGCGCCTGATACCCTAGGATGTTTACATGTAAATACGCCGTTGTTGTTGATTTTCTTGTTATTCCCACCCCCGATTTCCTTGACGATTTGATGATGTGGGAGAGATAGAAAGACGTCTATGTATGTAGAAAGAGAGATGGTAATTATCGTGTGTAAGAGAAGGAAGAAAAGAAGAAGAGGGTATATGCTGGCCGTGTGCTTTCTTCTTCTTTTATCTTTCCATTGGGGCAGATGAAGAGACAAGATGAGATAATCGACATTTCCACATTCCTCCACTTTCCTCGTGACATCCCCTGTTCATTTTCTTACACTGCCGAGCCAATATCCCCTTTTCATGCGGGTGTGGGTGGGTGATCGTCCCTCGGTTCACATGTCCACTCCACACCTGCATCCTACAGGCTCGAAATACACACTACCATAATTCCTTCTTTCGG